CATTTGTTTGTTCGGCCGAGCTGGTTCTTGGTGCTCTGGAGGGCTCATTCAGGAGCTCTGGGGTGGGGTGGGGTGTGAGGGCTCACAGGAGCTGTGGGCAGTGGGGGGGGCGGGGCATTGGTGTCTGCACCCCGCGTGACCAAGCCCGCTCTCCCTGCAGGAGACCCTCTGCAGTGCGGAGCCTGGGTTGGACAGTGTGCCCTTTACATCGTGATCATGATTTTTGAAAAATCTGTCGTCTTCATTGTCCTCCTCATACTTCAGTGGAAGAAGGTTTGGCTCCTGTTCCCTTCTTTACCAGCTCCTCGAGACGCTAAGCAGGACAGTACTCCCCGACCCCAGCCCTATTGGGAAACCAAATTGGTGGTGGTGGTTGTTTTTTTTAACTCCATGAATACACCTGGATTGGTTCTGATGGGGCAGCTCCTGGCTACCTATCAAGAGCAGTAACTTGTCAGTTTTTTACGTAGCATCCTTCCACTTCGGCCATACACGTCTGCTCTAGATTAAGCCTTGGAATATATAAAGCCCATGAAAATACAGTCCCCACCCTGGGCTTGCTTACGGTGGTCGGTTAACTGTAAGTGTTGTCAGCGGGTGTTCTCTACGTTTGCAGGTGCTTCCTCATACACCTTTCTTGGCCAGTGGTTTAACCGAGCCTTTTGGTGCCACAGGCAGTGTGGCTGGTCACAGGTTCCCATGATTCCTAACCCTGCCCTCTGGCCCCAGGGCTATGCAGTTAAGCTTCCACTGCCCACAGGAAACCAGCCAAAGAGACTCTGGGGACAAGTAACTCAGATCTTGGCCTGCTTTGGTTTTATTTGTGGCTGACATTTATTTTTTTAAGAAAATAAACCAAGGCTTTTGGGAGCTGTTGCCCTTGAGGAGGTGGTTGGGGTGCAGGGTTTCTGCTAGAAAGTGGTCGGCACCTCATTGCTAGTAGCTGTGATGAGCGCCCACCAACCTCCTCCTCTCCTCACACTCTCCAACCCCACCCCGTGCCTGCTTCGTAAAGTGCTTCCCGCCCCACCCCTGTCCCCCATCCCCGCATTGCTTCGCTTCTCAAGCACTAACCGCTCCCAGTGGTCTCCAAGGGCGTCAGTCCCTTGTTAGCTGTCAGGTCTGGGGGCTGTGCGGCCCTGGGTGTGAGGTGCTGTTCTCATCAGGGCTCTGGGGGGAGTGTCTAAGCTAAGCCCCCTCGCAAGGCCTCGTGGGTGATTTCCAGTGCCGCATCAACCCTCCACTCCCCCACCCCTGCCCCAAACTTTCTCTGGGGTCTCCTCCACCCTCACTGAGTCTGCTTCTCTTTACAGGTGGCCCTGTTGAATCCCATTGAAAACCCAGACCTGAAGCTGGCCATCGTCATGCTGATCGTCCCCTTCTTTGTCAATGTCAGTGCCTTGTTGCATTTTTTACCCTGTTTGCCCCCTGCCTTCCCGCGTCTGTCAGAATTCTGAGTCTGACGGAGAAAACACCTTATAGCCCTCGGGTCCCCCCATGCAAGCATTTGCCACCTCCTATCCCCACCCCGGACCTGGAAATAGCAGGATTGCTTCCTCAACATGCACATCCCTGCTCCAGGGCCTCTGTGCAAAATGAAGGGTTCTGGGATCTTTGTCTTGCCCTCCCTGCTCTGTGTGTAACAGCAGCTTCTAGATTAAGATTAAGATCGTCAGGAATTCACCCCCGTCGTTTATTCCTGACCGCAGGGCTCCAAGAGGAACTCATGAGCACTCTGGCTAGAAATTAAGAAATAAGAAAAGAAAACGGTAAAGGAACCTGGGGATGACAGATGTGGCAGGTGTGCCGGCCAACTGCTCGGCCCAGGGGAGGAGCCCCCACTAGGAGTCCGGAGACCTTGGTTCAGGCCCCACTCTGCCAACTGCTGCGGCACCCGGGGCAGGCTGTCCCCATCAGTCACCACCACAGAGCCCCTTAGGGTGAAACAGAAGAAGGGACATAGAGATTGGGAATCTCTTCGTAGACTGCTGAGAGAGAGAGCAGGGGGCCTGGATGTTTTCCTTTCCCTGGTTCTCGATGCTGTGATCTGGAGCAGGGATGAGAAGGATGGGTGTGGGGCTGCTCAGCTTGGTTTCACAAATGGCTTATCCCGGAGTAACCTGCACTTTCCTTCCCCCAGGCTCTGATGTTTTGGGTAGTGGACAATTTCCTCATGAGAAAGGGAAGGACGAAAGCTAAACTAGAAGAAAGGGGAGCCAACCAGGACTCGAGGAACGGCAGCAAGGTCCGCTACCGAAGGGCCGCGTCCCATGAGGAGTCGGAGTCTGAGGTAGGGCCGAGCCCTCGTGCCGCTGACCCAGGAGGGGTCTGGTCTCATGTTTGCATCTGTCCTTCTCTTGAGTGCTGAGTCACAGCGCCAGCCAGCGGGAGGGAGAGGAGGCTGACAGCTCCCATCCAGCCTGGACCCACTCCTGCTGTCCCGTGGGCCTTCCTAGGGCTGGGAGCTGGAGCATCTGTTGGGGGTGGCTTGCCTCCAGTAGCCCCTCTGTCAGTGGAGAAAGACAGGAAAGGGAGGAGCTGCCTTGTTCCAGGGAAGCTGTCAAGGATGTGTGGGCCTGGTCATCGACCTTTAAGCATCAAGGCGTTTGAATCCCTGCCTGTCCAAAGAGCAAGGGAAGTGTTGGCTAAGCCACCAAGAAACTTCTGTAGGAGTAGCCAGACCTCCCAGGGAGAACCTTACCTCCCCGTATTTTCAAGTTTCCTGAGTTCAAATATTTGGACTTCAGGGAGATTGGTGGTCATAAATAGGAGCCTGGAGGCGAGGTTGTGTGTCCTAGGCAGCCCACAGCACCCACTTTGCACCTGCACTGCGCTGTGGGATGGGGGCTACAGAAATGGCTGAGGCCTTCAGACTTTTGGACAAGGAAGATGACAGCCTGCACAGCCCATCGTAGCACTCTGCGATAAGTTCTGAGATTGAGGCGTTGACAAAGCCCTGTGAGGACTTGGAACAGTTGGTTTAGCTCTTGGGGGCGTCCTGGAGGGAGCTTTGAAAGCTGACTAGATGGAGGACAGAGGGGAAGCCCGTCTCTTCTCTAGGTGTCCCTAGAATCTGGCACGAGGCCTGTCGGGTTGTAACAGCGCAGTGAACATTAGATGAATGACAAACAGTGTTTCAGGCAGAAGCAGCTGCTCCTGAGCAGTTGTGGTCATGTGGTTTGGCATTTGGGTACTAATGTGAAATTCACTGTGGCCAGAGTAGCATATATTCCGGAGGGCAGGACGGAATGACAAGAAGTAGGTACAGGCAGAGCTAGCTGGGCAAGGTGCTTTGTGATCCAGGGTGAGGAATGGGAATGTGCTTGTGCAGCAGGTAGGGAGCCAGAGTGTTTGATCAGGGGACCAAGACTGGAGGCAGGAAGCCCTACAGGGAGGGGTGGTGAGACCGCCCTGCCGGGGAGGAGAATGAGCTCCCCTTGCATAGGTGCGCTTCGGGCCTCTCCATCCTGACCTGTGCTGTGCCAGTCCTTCCCTGGTGCTCTGAGGTCTGTGGAGCCAGGCAGGTGGGCAGTGAACGAGTGTCTGCCCTGGATGCCCTAGCTGCGTGGCTGCATCGTTCTGGGGGCTCAGAAGAGCGGAGGGCTTCTGTTTGTCTTCAGAAGTTTACCAGGTTGGCTCAGAGCAGACACTCTGAAATCTCCCTGCTTTATGTTGTGCCCCACAGGTGTTTTCCTTTCAGAACGGGGCTTTTCAGTCTGCTTTTGCTGTATTTGAACCAATTTCAAGGACCTAGGACTCCGTGTGTGAAGACTGGGCTTTTTTGCCAGGATGACCGTAGGCTAAGTTTGCTCTGACGTGGGTTCGGTCACAGCCGGAGGTTGGATGGAGAAGCGGGAGCAGAGGGGAGGCGTATCGACTCAGCACTGGTATCAGTAGCCCATGGATGCACGTGGTGTAAAAAAAAGTCTGGGGTGGGCCAGCTTGTCTCACTCTGTAAAGAGGGCCTCCCCATCACCGTCTCCTAAAGAAACCCGACACTTGAGGCCTCCTAGACAGGCTGGCATTCTGTGCTGGGGTCCAGGGTGGGTAGGTGAAGAGGGCACTGCAGGCAGTGACTCAGGGCCACGCCTCTCCACCACTCAGATCCTGATCTCGGCCGATGACGAGATGGAGGAGTCCGATGTGGAGGAGGACCTCCGGAGACTGACCCCCCTGAAGTCCGCGAAGAAAAAGAAGCACCGCTTCGGGCTGCCTGTATGACGCATCCTCAAGCTGGGGTCGGGTCGGGGCCCGGCCAGCCGCCAGTTGGCCAAGGGTCACTCCGCTGCGTCTTCCCTCCCCTCCTCTCTCTGCCCCTCTTCTACCTCCACTCCTCCCACGGTCTCTGCCCACTCCTAGACTACTGTGACCCGAGGGAGGGAGGCCGCTGGCCCGGCGTGGCAGCTGGAGGTCCCCACTCAGTTGCACTACAAACACTGACCAAATATGCAAGCGAGGCGTTTTGTTTGTGTGTTGTCGTCCCAAGCGGTGTTGTGAGGGACCCAGAAGCCCTGTCCTGCGTCTGGCCGGGTGGCCTAGAAAATGAGAACTCACGTGCACACAGACCGTGGGTGGAGCCTTTCGCCAAGGCTCGGGGGAATGTGAAGACGTAACACGTTTGGGGGCTAAAAGTTACACATTGACCAGGTTGGAACCGCAACGCTTTCTTACTCGAAATGGCTTTTGTAACTATTGATTTCTATAGCTGGTTTTATGAGCTGTCACAGTGTTAATGTTTTTTGAGTATATGTTTATTTCCTATGGGACTCATGGGCAAAACATAGATTTTTAAGTCTTCCGTATACTGTTAACTTTTATATTTTTAAGTTATATTTTCATACTATTGTATTTAAAAACTCTTTTTAATCCCCAAAGAAATGGGTTTGTTTGCCTTTCGTGGGTTGTGAACTGGTGGGTGGAAAAAGTCGGGAATTTTTTATTTGGAATATTGTTAGGTAATCTACGATCAGATGAGGTAAATGATTCCGGTAGGAAGGGAGGTGGGCCCTCATCTGAAATCAGCAAACCCGGTGGTTCTGCAAAGGTCAGGCCTGAGCAGGAGGTGGCCAGTCCAAATGTGGATCCAGGGCCCTGTGAGGGTGGAATAGGAAGGGCTCTGCCCAGGGCCCACCAGCTCCTTGGCACTTCTGCCAGCAGGTTAGAGGTCTTACTGAAACATGCTGGAAAAAGGAGCGTAAGAGGATTTTGTGTCCAGAGAAATTGAGACTCCGAGGCCACTCCTGTTTGTTCCCTGCCTCTCTTCAGAGCCTCCAGATCTGAAGTTTAAAACAAAGTCTTGGCCTCCCCGCCTCCCATGGTGCAGCCTTCAGAACCAGGCTCTGGACCCAGCTCTGGGAACTTCCTCTCAGGCTACGCCTTGCCTGTCAGCTTAGTGTTGTCGACTCGTCTTCTAGAGAACGCCTGTCTGGCCAAGTGATCCTGTTTTTCACATCCTCCAGAGCAGCGGGTGGAGGTGAGCGAGCTTGCTCTCTGTGTCCACAGGCAGGACGAGGTGTTTCAAAGCTTGTAGCCCCCACTCCGCAGCATGGGCATAGGCCCCGTGTCTTTGGAAGTCTGCTGCCCAGCAGTGGAATGGGCAGACCCAGGCACTTGCCCTGCTGTGGGAGCAGCAGCCCAGTGTTTTGTCCCAGCCCAGAGGCAGTCATGGAAGTTTAGGAATAGAGAACCGCGTGGCTAAGGTGCGAGCTGGAAGTGAGATCAGTGCAGGGAGGCCACACCACCCAGAACCTTCTTTTTAGGTTCCTGCCTAAAAACCTACATAAAAACGTGTCACTCAAACAGATTGTGTCTGAATTGTGGCATGTGAGCCACGCTGTTAAACCAGGCATCCTGGGCCTGTCCTCTGCCTCCCACGGTCTCACCTGTGTGGGTCATGGAGGGACAAGCCTTGCGGAGGCCTTCTCAGCCTGTCGTCCTGTAGGAGTCCAGAGGGCCAGAGGAGCTGGGACCTGAATTGCAGTGGGCGGCGACTCTGTTACGCTGGGCACCTGCAGCTGGAGAGGAGAGCAGGGTGAGATCGGAGCCCATCTCCACTCTCCCTTAGCTTTGCTCTCATTTTATGCTCCTCCCCCCTCCTACCCTCCGCTGTGTTAGTGGGGGGCTCCCCACTGGGAAGACCAGGACTGACATCGGTCCTGGTAGGTGGCAGGCATCGCTGACTTGCCTTACTCTGTCCTGTTTTGTCTTGGTTTGAATAACCTTTGGCCACAGCTGTTTTCTGCACCTCCCTGAGCCCAGAATCTGAGCTTCACTTTCAGTCTTGAGCTCCTCATGTTTCCAAACCAGGGACGAGGGTGGGGAAGCCACAGGTGTGAAGGATGGAAACTGGGTTATACAGACCCCAGATGATCTGCTCATCTCGAGGCTCATCCCAGCGCCTGCTGGGCAGTGGGTTTGGGGGACAAAGAGGTAGCGAGCGAGCAGTGGTTTCTCCCTGTATCCTGGTTTTGAAAGGGCTTTAGTCTCTGAGCGTCAGTTGTATAGCTGGCTAACTAGGACATGGACGTCTAACAGGGAGTCTGATCGTACAGGGCCTTGTCAGCGTGCGGGCCTAAACGGTGTAGCCTGATGTGTTTGGCCTTATCCCTAGGATAAGCTTCCTCACCACCTGCTCCAAGGTGCCTTATGAGGTGCAGCTCTTCACCTGCCACATGGCAAGCATCATTGTGCTTGAGAAACCACGGAACACCAACTGTGTATTGTGTGCCATCCGTCTGATTTGTCCAAATCTGGACCTCAGCCAAGCCACCCATAATGGAAACTTGTAAGTCAAGGCCATGAACAAGTTTCTTGTAACTGATAGAAATAACCCGATGAGATAGAACTGTCATATCCGAATGGAAGAGATCGTTCTTGCCCATTTTTCCTTTCACTGACAGTGGGTTGTTGACAATGGCAAGGAGGGGTGTTGGTGAGATCCCAGGCAGTGGCTTCTTGGTCTTCTCAGCCCAAAGACCTGCCACGTGAAGGCCTGTCAATTAGCCTTCGGGCACACTGGTAGCCTCCTGCCTCAAGCTTTAACCTGTGCCTCTTCCTGACAACAAGGAGTCATGGGTTAGGTTGACCTGTCATGCCTTTAAAGGGGAAATATATAAAGGCTCAAATTCAGGTTATTTCTTCCCCTCTTCAGTGTGGGCCTGGAGGCTGTAGCCCAGAGTCCCCATCTGAAGGCTGCCCCAGGAGCCTGGAAGGAGCAGCAGCTGTCAGCAGCTCTCTCTGCCCTCCAGACTGCAATTCACTGGCCTTTTTGCAGCCAAGCAAATGCAGACGGCTCTGGGAACTTGCCGTCAGCCAGAGCAGCCACCTTGTAGGGGGCAGGGCTGGCCTTTAGAAGTTTCACACATTTCCAACTAGGAGTGGAGAGCTCTGTGTTTTACCCTGTGAAACATTGGCAGCTCTGAAGGGCTTTGCTCTTGGGGAGGGACCTTGAGCTCCTGAGTGGGTGGGTGGGTTGGTTTAATTTGATTTCTCTTTTCATGAAGTTTATTAGAAGTCAGACCTACGTAAGCAAACCATGACCGACTTCCACTGCCCTCCCAGCGCGGGTGGTTAAATCTGTGGTGTTACGATTCACAGAAACACATTTTTTGAAATGAAAGGGAAGACGATGTACTTAACATTGTAAAGTGGTTTACAATAAAGTTTGACATCTTATTACAGTTTTTTAAAAAAAGAAACCATCACTTTTGTGGTTGTTGGTTGTGTGTTCTGTGAAGTTGAAACAGCTTAGTGGGGGTCAAGAAAATGTCCCCAGTGAGTTAGAAGGTTCTCCCCAGAAAATAGAGTGAGAATGAATCTGACATCTCCTTATGGCAGATGTGGAAGCCAAAACCTGCCAAGGGGAAAAAAACCAAACATACTCTTGCCATTTCCACTTCCCTGTTTATGCGAGTAAAAGCTACTCTGCCTGCCCCCTGCCCCCCGAGGAGCGAAGGGCGCCGGGGAGATGGAGTGTGAGGGGTGAACATCCCACATCCTTGTTCCTGAGGCCACGGGGCTGGAAGGCAGGTGCCCCCCCTGGGCAGAGCTGGCTGTGGGGGCCAAGCTGAAGCGCTGGGAGCCAGCAGCAGTGCCCTCACAGGCCAGGCCTGCCCTCAGTGCCTCTTGGCCCCTGCTTGGAGCCCTGGGTCTGTGCCCGTCCAGAGGCATTCCTCATGTCAGCACTCGTCTCAGATGGAGCCTGGCAGGGCTCGCATTGGCCTCCTGGGGCCAGGACCAGGCAGGGGGTATCGGGGTGGGTTGAGGTCTGACAGCAGCAGAGCGGTGTTCCAGACAGCCAGACATCAGTGCCTGGCTGGGTTTTGTCTGCCCGGAGCCTTCAAGGATAAAAATACTCTCCATAACAAACTGACAAGGAGCTTGGGCATGTCTCATCCAATGGGGCAGACCCTGACCTCCTACCCACATCCACTCCTACCCTCACCTCAGGCCTGGAGTCCTTCCCTGTGCCCCGGGGGTCTTCCCTTCAAGGATGGGGTGTTAGGAACTAGCAGAGGAGAGCTAAGTGACCTTCAGGGAGCCTGTGCCTCTGTCCATGCCTTGAGTGGGCTTCACTCTTGCCCACCCTCTCACAACCTAAATGTCCTTGGGCCAGGTGCCCTTCGGTGACCTCGTCTCAGTCAGAGGCTCTGTGCTGTTTCCTGCCTTCTGCTCACCGGTACCCTTACCACAAAGCATGGTTTCCTCCCAGCCCTTCCTGGGTGCTTTGCTCCCTCCTTCATCCTGTTGCTAAACTTGCACTGGGAGCTGGACAGAGGGCAGGGGCATCAGCAAAAATGCAGATGGAGCAGCTCCCAGGCTTCCCTTGGCAGCAGCTTCTGTACCTGTGAGCCAGGGGTAGCCCCCATGATCTGAGTCCACTGTGAGAGCCCAGCGAGCTGGGTGTGAGCACATGCTCCCCAGCGGCAGATGCAGGAAGCCGTCCGCCCTGCTGCCATGTGGGTTTGGGAAGTCTCTTTCCTCTGGAATCCAGAGAAGGGGTAGGAGAGAGAGAAAAACAAGCTCAGAGCTGTCCACCCTGGCTCAGGGCCCTCTCTTTCCTCCGGGACACCCCCCACGCTGGGATGGACTATCGCAGATGGACAGCTCGGAGTGCCACACACACGTTACAGGACCTACGTTCGTAAACGCGAGTCTCTGCCAGGCCCAGCACCTCCCACCTGCCAGAGAGCAGCTGTCCTCAAGGGTACGGGGTCTCCCCAGCTGTCTGCTTTCACCAGGACTGCAGCCCCCCAGGCAGCAGTGCTCAGCGAGCCCCCATCATCTCCAAGAATAAACTCTGAAGCCAGCGGCTGTGTGGATCTGAATCATCAGGGAGCTGTCAGAGGAGGGGGAGTGACTTCCCGGGACAGGCAAGCCAACTATATAAGCCCCAGAGGGCTGGGCACCACTCAGATCTCTTTCACAGCCACTGCCTTCCAGGGAGCAGTTCCCCATACCCACCATGTCCCAGGTAGGAGGGCCCAGCACAGGCCCTGCTCGTGCCAGGGGGTGGGGGTGGAGGGTGGACGCTGTCATCTTTAGCAGCTGTGTCTTGAGCTGAGCTCTGGGCATAAACACAGGAGGCTCTGCCTCCCCTGGAAGACCGGGGCTCAGGGAAGACAGGCACACAGATGGTGTGAGGCTACAACAGCCATGGCCCCAGAGCTCCCAGTTTGTGGGAAGAGGGCAGAGACTCGGGGTATGGGGCTGTGAAGTATAGTCAGAAAGGCTTCCTGGAAGAGGAGTGAGGCCTTGAATTGGCTTGAGTTAAGTGAGCAGGGAAGAGGGGTCTCGGCCAAGGCACAGTGCTGGGAAAAGGCTCTCAGCCTCGAGGCCTCGGGTTGTAAGATGAGGCTCTGGGCTCTCCAAGGCTGGCACTCAGGAAGCCCCCATCAAGAAGAAGCGCCCCCCTGTGAAGGAGGAGGACCTGAAGGGGGCCCGAGGGAAGCTGACCAAGAACCAGGAGATCAAGTCCAAGACCTACCAGGTCATGCAGGAGTGTGGTGAGTGTTCTTGGGACAGTGGGCTCCAGGGGCGCAGATGTGTGTCAATAGGAGGGAGGATGGGGTTGGGGGGGAGGTCCCATGGGTCCTTTTTCTAAGAGTTCAGAGCTTGTGAGCTCAGCAGGGTGCTCCCCACAAAAGGGGCCTTTCCTCCCTAGGAAGCCAGGCCGTGCCCCTGACTACACCTCCTCCCCATCCTCCCCACAGAGCAAGCTGGTTCTGCCGCCCCATCGGTGTTCAGCCTCGCCCGGACTGGCACCGAGACTGTTTTTGAGAAGCCCAAAGCCGGACCCGCCAAGAGTGTCTTTGGCTGAGAAGTGCGCACCACGCCCCTCACCGTCAGCAACACCTAGACACAGGAGCCTTTCCCAAGAACTCTTTTTTTATGCCAGAACATAGCTTCTCACCCGCGGCCTCTGGGATTGGCACCCTCCCCAACAGCCCTGGCCCCTGAGCCCAGGGACTCTGCACCAGCACCTGGGCAACACCAATAAAGAGGATGCCCAAGTGGCCCCAGAATTTGGAGGGTGTTGGTTGGTCACTGGCCATGGCCACTAAATGCAGGGGAGGGGTGGGCAACGTAGGTGTGGGGCATGTTCTGTACGCTTCTCAGCTTTTGGGATGGCCCCAGAGGATAATGCAGGTGCCATTATGGCCACTGCCACGTACTAGAAAGAACGTTGGGTGTGGAGACCTGGAGCTGATCTGTGTGACTTCAGACTGTCTCTCCTCCTTTTCTGAGCCTGTTTCCCCTTGTATGAGGCAAGGGAGCCTATTGCGCAAAACAGGCCATAGTCACACTGCTCAGAGTGAAGCAGGTGGGGGCCTGGGGCTCACCCTTTCCTTGGTTTTCACAGAAGCCATCGAGATGCCTCCAAGGACCCCAAGGCTCTGAGGGACTCAGGATCCTCAAAGCGCGCGCCCCCCCCCCCCCCGCCTTGTTCGTATTGCCTCCCTGCCAGCTCGCATCCCCTCAAAGACAAAGCCAGGTGGAGGCTCCTCTCTGGCCAGTGGCAGTCTGCTTCCTGAGCTACTGTCCCCTCTCCCAAACAGGGTAAGCCTCCCCCTTGCCACTCCCACAGCTCTGCCTGAGGCATGGAGCGCCAGGTTCTCAGCTCATGTGCGATTCTTCCTGCTTCAGGCCTCAGTGTCTCTGTGCACATGGACTCGTCAGACTCAGGGGACTGCAGAGGCCTGTCCAGCTGTGACAGCAAGACCACAGACTGTCCGGAGATGGACTGGCAGGGTCTGGGCTTACAGTGCCTGGCTCGGGGCCAGTGCCTACAGGGAAGTCCCGCCTGTCCCCTGGGCAGGTGGAGCGGACTGCACAGACCCTTTCCCACATTCCTGGCCAGCCCGGCCTCCTTATATAGCTGTTTCCAGGCTGGGTCCATGCTCTGTGCCCCAAGGGAGCAGACCTTCTGTGGCGACCAGGCCTGGGCCTGCTCGCTGAGTTCCTGGGGAGGCTCTTTCCCCAGACTGCTGAACGGGTATGTCTTCCCGAGTAATCCCAATCACATCCATAGTCAAAGGGAGAGCTGTATAGATGCGCCCAGAGGTGAGGCTTCTGGCTAAGTCATGCTAAGGAAGGGGAATATTTACTTGTAGCCACAGACCCAGCTTCCTTCCCTTGGGGCAGATGCTACTGGCATTGACCGAGGCAGGGCTAATGGAGGAGCCCCCTTCCCGGCCCTTGCAAGCCTGTCACTGCCCCAGGGTCCCAAGTAGGCCCTGAAGATGGTACCCTTCCCCAGTTCCCACCCCTGGGATAGTGTCACTGAGTCCTCCTTCCCCAACCAAGGATCTGGCACCTGGCCACTTTTCTGAAGCATCTTTATCCCATCTGTGGCCCCAGACTCAGGAGCCAAGCTTTCCCAGAGCCACAGGGACATAAGCACCAGCTGCATCCAGATCCCCTAGTATTTATTCGCTTTATTGCTACTTGTTATGAAAGCAGTCTTTCAACTTTATTAAAGGAAAATTGAAAAAACGTCATCTGTAATCCTACCCCAGGCCCTCCAGCCACCTCCTGTGGTCTGAGCCCACGACACCGGCACTGCCTTGGCGTGCTGACAGATCAACGTTCTGCCGTTTCTCACTCCAGGCGTGACTCACGGGCTCCCTTGACACGGCTGACCTCCGTGTAGGCCACCTGAACATCGTCCCCTTCAGGAGCTCTGTGCTCTCTCTGTTCCATGCTTCCCTCAGGAGATTCCCCAGAGCGAGACTTCTGGGCCACCACGTGTGGGCGTCTTTATGGCCCTCGGTTTGTATTGCCAAGTGCAGATCTTGTTTCAGAGGCCTTGCTGGAGTTGCACCAAGAGTCCTGGCTAGAATAATGGGGCCCAAACAGCATCCTGAGGCCCCAGCAGAGAGAAGGGGGGCTCCTTGACCTAGCCTCTCTCATCCCAGAAATAAGGTGTATCCATCCTGCCTTGGCCCCAGCAGATCTTGCCCCACTCAGGCACCCCAAGGGCTGCTTGGTGCATTTGGGGTCCCACTGCCCAGTCACACTGACCTGACTTCCAGGCCCCTGCCTCCTGCAAACCACCCTCTGGCCCTCCTCTTCCCAACCACGCCTGTGCTTCTCCCAGGCTGGGCTTATGGAGAGCAGGCCAGTTCACTGCTATGTCCTCCAGTCCTAGGGAGCCTGTCGGCAAGATGAGCCGTGCAAGGGGTGGTGGTGGTTTGGTCAGATTCTGGACCATTCAGAAGGGGCGCCAGCACCTAACTCCCACCTGAGCCTGCTCCTGCTCAGTACATGTTCCCATCCCCAGCCAAGGTCCACAGGACATTCACAGTTTGCCTGCTTATCTGAGGCCACTGCAGTGTTTGGCTTGCAGATCCCAATTTCCCAGAACCTGCCCCCACAGGGGCGGGGCAGTGAGCAAGTTACAAATTCATTCCGCTCTTCCTCTCAAGTTCAGAAGCGGCCTGCCAGGCACCAGAGCCAAAATGAAGACCCCAGCCCCTGGCCGCGCCTGCGGGATCGTGCTGGTCCTGCTCTCGCTGGCCACCCTCCAGACCCTCAGGGCCCAAAAGGTAGCGGGTGTCCACGGGTTCCTGTATGTGTGCATCTGAGCGTGAGTGGGACAAGTGGGTGAAGGGGAGGAGAACCTCGGTGTGTGCAAGTGAGCACGGGTCAGTGTGTGTGCAGAGAAGTCGTGCTGCCCATCCACCAGGCACCACCCTGAGGGCTCTATGGAGAGTCCCCCATTTACAAGAAGGGGTGATCCTGGTATCCCCAGTTCACGGGGAGGAAGTGCAGCCTAACAAGTTGCCCTGGAGGGCGGCAGTGGGTGGGGCGGGTAAGAATGGGCCTCAGGAGCCCAGCTTACGCCTCCTGGCTCCGTGACCTCTCGGAAGTCATGGATGCTTTCCGTGTCTCTTTTTCCTCATCTGTAGAACAAGGTAGTAATAGAACTATTTGGAAGTTTGTGGTGAAGAGGAAACCTATAGTGTTGTAAAATGCTGGGTACAGTGTCTGGCATGGAGCAGACACTCACGTGTAAACAAGCCACACGGCCCGCCGCACACCTCTGTGCTAAGCACAAGTGTGCCACATGGCAGGCGGGCGAGAGATGTGTAGGCTCTGCCTGTTTGCACATGCCCTTCCTTGGAGACCGCAGACCTCGAGCGAAACACATGCCTGGGGGAGTGCCCTGTGGACAGGGCAACAGGAGAGGCCCAATGCTGCAGGGAAAAGGGGGCAAAGCAGAAGATGCCCAGCCTTAGAGATGGACCTTCCAGTTCTCCCAGCTCCTGCAGGCCCCTGGGGGGAGGCTGGCAGGGGCTGTTTTCTCCAGTCACAGGACTTGCTCACTGCCCTTTCACTGGGCAGAGCTAAGATGGCATGGAAGCTTCCTGACCTAACAGGACCCTCTGCCACTCACCTCTGCCCCAAGGATAAGTAAGTTCCTCCCAGACACAGTGGGGCTCAGGCTCCACCCCCCCACCCCTTGCCTGCTTGTTCTCCAAGGGGCACTGTGGCCCCCACTGAACAAGACAGACTGATCCCTGCCCCGTGGCACTGTAGGATGGGGAATGAAGCACACAGCTGCCTCTGATCTGAGATGAAAGTTCACAAATGAAATGCTTCATGGAATTTTGCCTGAGGCTTGATCAGTGTCTCGCTTGGGGTTGGGGGCCAGGGCTTGGTCTGGGACCAAGGTCAAGGCCCACTCTTGAAGAACATTGAACAGTCCTACCCTTTCCTTTCCTCCTCCACTGGTCCAGAATGACATCGACATCTACAGCCTCACTGTAGACTCCAGGGTCTCATCCCGATTTGCCCACACAGTCGTCACCAGCCGGGTGGTCAACAAGGCCAGTACTTTGCAGGAGGTCACCTTCCAGATGGAGCTGCCCAAGAAAGCCTTTATCACCAACTTCTCCATGTAGGTGCCCTCCTGCTCTCCTCCTCGTCCCCCTCCCCAATCCAGCACTGTGACACCATGGTCCCTGTGCCAGATCAGGAAGAGAGGGCATCTTCCTGATGTGAGATGTGCCAGGATATATGCCTGAGGTGTGTGTGCTCCACCTGTAGGCAATACAGGGAGCAGAGGCTTTAGCCAGTAACTTCATTCATTCTCAGAGACGTTTCCCTCCCTCCCTCCCTCCCTCCCTCCCTCCCTCTCTCCTTCCCTCCCTGTATCCCTTCCTCCCTCCCTTCCTCCATCCATCCTTCATCCCTCCCTCCGCTGTGCCTTCATCCCTCCCTCCGTTGGTCCCTCCCACCATCCATCTCTCCATCTGTTCATCCATTTTCCCTGAGTGCTGCCCAGGTGGCAGATGGAGAACCACGGTATCTTTGTGTCTTTGCCTTTGAGAAGTACAGACTTAGGGCATCCTGAGGCCAAGCCCAGGCAGAAGGGAGTCACCAAAAGGCAGATTCCAGCTCAGAATACAGAAAACTTCCTAACCCCTGGGCTGCCCCACAATGAAGCAGTGCCTCAAGGAGGGGGACCACCTCCTTGTCACAGAAGTTCTAAGCCAGGCTCATCCCCCCCACACCTCCAACTGGGATACTGCAGAGGGTGGTTCTGCTCTGGGTCAGAAGCTGCATTGGGAGGCCCCTGGGGTTTCTGTGGACTCTGTAAGCAGGTGATGATCCTTACCTTGTCTCTACTGTCCTCCCCCACCCTTCCCAACCGAGTTTTGCAATGTTTACTAAATGCAAGAGAACTCTCTGTCCCTGGCCCCGCAGGAGAGGCAGTGATTGAGGACAGGCCAGAGAGAGGCTGATCCCAGAAACTCAGGGAGGGCGATGGGTGGGGCAGAGAGCGTGTATCTCAGGTGGAGTCACCAGTGCACCCTGGGACCCCTGAAAACCTGCAGTGGGGGTCCGGTCCCTATGGTGGGCTCCTCATCTCTCTGCCCGCAACCCCCTCCAGCAGCCCTTGATTTCCTCACCCTGGAGCCAGGCCTGTGCTGCCCAACTTCACAGGCTGCACCCCGCCCCCCATGTGGGTGCCACGGCCGGCAAGTTACGAGGTTTCAGGCCCATCACATCTTCTGAGGGCCCTGGACTTGCACCCCTCTCTGGGCCCAGCTCCTGTTGCTGCATGAGATAGGGAAGCAGGGGGCAGGGTGCCCTGCTCTGGGATCCCAAATTGGACATCTGGGAGAAGCCCTGCAGCCCAGCAGCAGCCCAATCCCTAGCCCAGAGTTAAATTTGACCAGGGAGGTCAGGAGGGTGTGGAGGAAGGACACTTGGTCCTGAGGTCCTGGCTGCCCCCCCTCCCCCCCTGTACACTCTCACCCTCTCACACCACCCCCAGACAAAGCAGGCTTATGTTTGCCTGCCAGTTCACTCTCAGTCCCCAGAAACGGCCACTAGGATTGTCTGCACGCCCCAAGGAGCCCTGTCCACCAGTTGTCCAAAACTTCCTTCCCCGGAGGCCAACCCCTCTGCAGAGTGGCCTGTCCAGTGTTGGAAGAGGGGGCAGCCATGGGGGAGAGGGGTCAGAGCCTTCAGTCCTGTGTCTCCACTGGCCCGGGAGCCGGCATCTCCCTCCTGCTGGGTCTGCCCCACGGGGCTGAGTGAACTGTGGCTCAGAGATCTCGCTGGTGGCTGACCAGTTCCTCTGAGAACAGTCTGTGGGATGGAAGGGGCAACTGGGACGTGGAGCCCAACAGGAAGGGAGAAGAGAGGCCGGGACCTGCCTCCCCTGCAGCCTTCATCCCAGTTGTTTAGTAAAAAGCATGTTTGCCGACACAGTGCACGTCTCAGGGTAGATGGAGGCCTGCAGAGCCCCCATCGACACAGGGCCCCGCACAGAGTCGTGTCCACAGTAGGTGCATAATAAACGGGTGGGCTCAGGTAAAGATGGGAGTCAGTCTGTCAAGAGGCACATGAAGTCCCGGAGGAGGCAGGATTGCAGGGAGCCTCCCCCACTGGGCTCTCAACAACTCCCTCCCTCCTGCCCCAGGATCATTGATGGTGTGACCTACCCCGGTAACATCAAGGAGAAGGCTGCAGCCCAGGAGCAATACAGCGCGGCTGTGGAGAGGGGAGAGAGTGCCGGCCTCGTCAAGTGAGCCCGACGGGGTGGGGAGGACCCTGTGGGGGTGGGGGCTGCCCCTGCCTTCAGCCGCCCCAGGTCTGAGGGGCAGACCTGATGCCCTCTTCCCCCAGGGCCACTGGGAGAAAGACAGAGCAGTTCCAGGTGTCAGTCAGTGTGGCGCCCGCTGCCAAGATCACCTTCGAGCTGGTGTATGAGGAGCTCCTGGTGCGGCATCTGGGAGCGTACGAGCTGCTGCTGAAAGTCCAGCCCCAGCAGCTGGTCAAGCACCTGCAGGTACCTGGTGCCGCCTCCTCTTAGAAGCCCTCCTAGATGACCTCACTCTCCTGAGGGCGGCCCCTGCTTCCCCTTCTGCCTCCTGTGGGGGCCAGCCCTGTCCCCCAGCAGACCCAGTAACCCACTTCTTGCCTCTAGATGGACATTTACATCTTTGAGCCTCAGGGCATCAGCTTTCTGGAGACAGAGAGCACCTTCATGACCAATGAACTGGCAGAGGCCCTCACCACCTCACAGAACAAGACCAAGGTGGGCCTGCTGTGGTCTGCGGGTGAGAGTTCCCAGGGGCCTGTCTTCAGGCTGGCTCTATGGGCCTGGGTTTCCAGAGAGTGGGACCATTGGGCAGAATCTCTGAGCTAAAGGGACTTGTGAAGTTCCTGTGTCCGTGCTGTCATTTGGCAGATGGGGAGGGCAAGGCCTGGGGAAGGATGGTGGGTGCTGGTTTGAACCCTGAGATCGGGAGAGAGAGACGACTGATGTCAGGGTCCCAGGACAAGGTAGGGAGGAGGAGCTGACTGGACGCACACATCCTGAGCCCAGCCTCTGCTTGCACAGATCTAGGAGCAGGGGATTCACTTGTACCCACTCCCCTACATGGAGGCAGTCTATCTGATAGCTCAGCTGGAGAGAAATTTCTCTGGAATTTGACCCAAGGCTGCCTCCTGGAATTCCCTCTTCAGATGGGGGTGAGGGGTGTTGTTGACATGGGCTTGCTGCTCCTCCCAACTTCAGCCTGGTCATTTTTCCAGGCTCATGTCCGATTCAAGCCGATGCTGTCCCAGCAGCAAAAGTCTCCAGAGCAGCAGCAGGACACAGTCCTGGATGGCAACTTCATCGTCCGCTATGATGTGGACCGGACTCTCTCCGGGGGTTCCATTCAGGTGTGTGGGCTTCAGAGAAGAGCTGAGCCACCAAAAAGTCCATCTACCCTCAAGGACCTGAGCCTGGGGGTTCTAAAAGAAAAGACAAAATAGCCACCCCTAGTTACCAGTGTGCACCAGGGGCAGCACAGACGGCAAACAGGCAGTTTAGTTGTGTTGTCCCTGAAACAGTTCTCTTTCGGAGGGAAGAAAGTTTGTCTCTGCTGAAGAACTGCCCTGCAGGGTTTCCCTTGTAGCCTTGGCTGCCAGGAGACTCACAGTTCACATTTATGTTCAATTACAGTACCTTCTTTCACACAAGTTTCTGGCATCATTGTGCTTCCCCTTTATTTTTGAACAAATCACTGTTTTCTCGCCCCTTTCCCAAACCACTGGGTCCAGGGGAGACCAACCCCTTGAGGATCCAGAAAAACATGCAGGAAGCCATAGATGGACCTTGTTTTTGGATTCTTCACTTTTTTGATGGATCTCAGGTTTATTATGTCTGAACCTTTTAGTATAAGCTGCCTCAAATACTAAAACAAGTAAGAGGTAAAGTAGGGGTAGAGTTCTGGTGGGCTATGCATGAGCAGGGAAGCCTGCAAGGGAGGGGCTGGACTAAACCCTAAAGTATGGCAAGGATTTGGGGAGGTTAATGGTGGGACAGGGATGGAGGGGGATGGGATGAAGAGAGCAGAGGAGCCCCAGGGCTGGGGATGAGGCTGGTTAGGGGCAGGGCAGGGCTGCAGCTCTTACACCTGGGTGTGTCTCACTCTGGTCGCAGATCGAGAATGGCTACTTTGTGCACTACTTTGCCCCTGAGCACCTGGCCACGATACCCAAGAACGTGATCTTTGTCATTGACAAGAGCGGCTCCATGAGCGGCAGGAAAATCCAGCAGGTGGGTCCCATGGGCCAGGCAGGGTCCTGAAAACTCACAGATGTCCCACACCATCAGCTCTGGTCGAACAGGCAGACCTGCCCTCCTCCATCTTCCTAGGTAGGGGGCTCCCATGGATCGAGGTTGGTCAGAGTTTGGGGCAGGTCCTGCCGCTAGAGCATTCACCATGTCCTCACTGCAGATGTGAGCCTGGGGGTGCAGCCCAAGGGCACATGAGCCCCCAGGGAGGCCCCACTGAGACACCCACCTTGTGTCCCCTTCCCCTGACCAGACCCGGGAAGCCCTCATCAAGATTCTGGGTGACCTCGGTCCCCGTGACCAGTTCAACCTCATCAGCTTCAGTGGGGAAGCAACCCCGTGGAAGCCACAGCTAGTGGCAGCCTCGGCTGAGAACGTGAATGAGGCCAAGAGCTACGCCACTGCCATCCAGGCCCAGGGAGGTGAGCGCCTCTGCAGCCTTGCACGGTCGCAACTTCCAGGGCACTGAGCCCAGCCTGGGGCACCCTGCTGGGAGCCACCCTAAGAGTGTGTGCCCCACAGGGACCAATATAAACGATGCGATACTGATGGCCGTGCAGCTGCTAGAGAGAGCCAACCGGGAGGAGCTGCTGCCCGCAGGAAGCGTCACCCTCATCATCCTCCTCACCGACGGCGACCCCACTGTGGGTGAGGCACTGCCAGCAGCCCCAGGACGTGCTGCCCAGAGGGAGTAGCTGGGCTCTGGCCCGGCTTGCTGTGGCACCTGGGGCAGGGAGGGGGGATCTCTGAGGCCCCTCTGGCTCTGAGATTCCAGAAATATCTGTTGAGCAAATCACTGTTTTCTCACCCCTTTCCCAAACCACTGGGTCCAGGGGAAACCAACCCCTCAAAGATCCAGAAGAACGTTCAGGAAGCCATAGATGGCCAGCACAGCCTCTTCTGCCTGGGCTTCGGCTTCGACGTCAGCTACGCCTTCCTGGAGAAGCTGGCACTGGACAACGGTGGCCTGGCCCGGCGCATCTATGAGGACTCGGACTCCGCACTGCAGCTCCAGGTGCCCATGCGCCCCTGCTGGGCCACGTGAGCAAGGGATGGCACTACAGGCGGGCAGACCCCAGCACGGCCCTCATGACACCCCCACCCTGCAGGACTTCTACCAAGAGGTGGCCAACCCACTGATGACATCGGTGGCCTTCGAGTACCCAAGCAACACCGTGGAGGCGGTCACACAGGACGCCTTCCGGCTGTTCTTCAAGGGCTCCGAGTTGGTGGTAGCCGGGAAGCTCCGGGACCAGAGCCCTGATGTGTTCTCAGCCAAAGTCAGGGGGCAGCTGGTAGGTATGGCCAGCCATCCTGGAGGGGAAGGGCAGCCGGGGCAAGCAGTCAGCGGCTGGGTTCAAACCCCAGCCCTGCCAGGCTCCAGCCGGTTGACCTTGAGCAAGTTGCAGAGTGCCCTCTGCCACTTGGGGATGACGCATCCCCCACCGTGTTGGCTCCTGGTAGAGGTTCAGTGAGATGATGTGATTTTCCGAGAGCACCTGTGTGGGGCCGGCGTGTGGCAGACACTCCATGGTCAGTCAGTGCTGCTGCTGCTGTTCCCAAGGGCACCAGGTGCTTGGCATCCCCTCCTGTCCTCACACCAGCCCTCTGAGGTTACAGTCAGGCAGGGAGGGCTGCTCCCATTTCACAGATGAGCAGCCTGACATCCAGGCAGAGCAGGCGGTTTGCCCTGGGCCCCACTGCAGCCGGGTCAAGAACCCAGCTCACCATGTGGTGTCCTGTCCTCGCCCAGCCTCCCCTGCCTCTGTGCCATGGGAGGCCCTCTCATTCCACAAAGAGAAACACAGCACTTCTCTAGGCCCTGGGGATACTGCCCTCACGGGAGAGACAGCATGGGTAAATTGTCACACAAACAAGGAGCTACAGGCTGGATAAATTCGGGGATCAGGGAGGGCTTCCCAGAGGAGGCTCAGCTAAGACTGAGAGGTGAGTAGAGGGTGGCAGAGGCCAGATGGTGGAGGGACGGAGGAATGTTCCAGGCTTGCGTGGCAGGCAGGCAGCACGTGTGGGGAGAATAGCAGGTGGGCTAGGCAAGCGGGCATGGGGGGCCCAGGGCCTCGTCTCAGGAGAAGTAGCCAAGTGTCATGATGGGCAGGGCATGCCCTGTGGCCAGCCTGCCCGGCTTCACTTCCAGCTCTGCCATCTCCCAGAGGTGAGACCTGGGGCAAGGCACTTAAGCTCCCTGTGCCTCAGTTTCCTGCTGTATACAAATGAAAGTAAGTCACCTCTCCCACACCTGGTAAAGCTGCAGTGGGGATTAAGGTCTCGCCTGGTATAAACACTCCATGTATGTTAGCTGCTGATATCCTGGAGGCCAGGGGTTCCCAAAGTGCAGAACCCAAGGTGACTTGGAGTAGTTTACAAACAAACATGCCTTTGTTTTAGTAGTTTAGTTATGTATTTATTTTAATGTGTTCTGAAAAATAACTCGAACCACAGACCTAAGATTTCACAGGTATTATTGCTCGGGTCAAGACCAAGAGTGTTAGTCTATTTAAAGTTCATTGGAGAAAAACCATCAAACAAATAGCTGTATGTGTGGAGAAGGCAAAATTCATGCAGCTGCTGGTTCTGCGCCTGCTGTGTAGCACCTGGGATAGTTTGCTCCCTTTTATCTCCACCTCCTTGTCATCCTTGGAGGCTCTGTGGCTGAGCCCCTCACACCCCTAAACACACTCCCTACCCTCCACTCTACTCAAAGGAAATGTGGCCTTGCAGCCAACGCTGCCCCCGCCAGGTTTCTCGTGGCATTGCTGGGCAGCGCCAGGCCAGGTGCAGACGTCACACCCTCACTGCTCCCGCCCTGGCTGGGCCCCTCTTTCCAGCACATGGAGAACATCACCTTTGTAACGGAGTCCCGCGTGGCAGAGCAGGAGGAGGCGTTCTGGAGCCCCAGATACATCTTCCACAGCTTCATGGAGAGACTGTGGGCGTACCTGACCATCCAGCAACTGCTGGAGCAAATGTGGGTGGACACACCCTCCAGGGCCCACTGGGGTGGCCACACACGGTCTCAGCACTTCCCCAGGCTCTTCACCGGTGGGGCAGGCACAGCTGGCGCTAGGCATGGAGACGGGGTGGCGGTATCGTGTCTGAGTTCCAGACCCCCAGTGGGAGCTTCCTAGAGGGGTCTGGAAGGGAGGGAGAGTCTGACTGGGCACCCCGGGGCCTGCTGAGCCACTGGTTTCCTCCGCCTGCAGAGTCTCCACGCTAGATGCTGAGAAGCAGGCTCTTGAGGCCCGAGCTCTGAACTTGTCGCTCAGCTACAGTTTTGTCACCCCGCTCACGTCCATGGTGATCACCAAACCCGAAGGTCAAGAGCAGTCTCAGGTTGCTGAGAAACCCGTGGAAAATGGTGGGTGTGGCAGCAGAGTTTTGACCCAGCATTTTCCCCAGCCCCTCCCCACATCCCGACCAAGACGCCACCCCTGCCACCCACAGACTCCCAGGAGACTTACCCTATTTCGTTGATGAGGAAACTGAGGCTAGGTCTCCTGACCCCTGCATGTTCACTGCACCTGTGTAGTGCTGGGGTTGGGAAGCAAGGTTAAACAGAAGCACTTCAAATTTATCAAAACCACCCTGACAGTGTGTCTCTCTCTTTCTCCCTCTTTTTGTCTTAACCAGAAAACAGACACAGGAACGTCCACTCAGGTAAGGGCCTAATACCCTCTAAGGCTGGCCTGGGTGACTGTTGGTTGACACAGGGCCTATGGTACAGCGACCGTGAGGTTGCTAGCCGGGGCCTCTCCAACCCAGCCCTGCTCAGGAGGGGGTGTCATCTGCCCAAACACGCTGGTGCATTTAGTTACCTGTTCATTCATATTGGTTGCCACTCAGGCCCTGTCCTGGACACTAGGGACACAGACCCCCATCCCACTGGGGGCCCCAGAAAGGCACATCCCAGAAGCAAACCCAGGTCTCTCTGATTTCCAGGTCACACTCTCTTCAGATATCATTCCGTGGGAGGCAAAGCGTCCAGAGTATCAGGTAGCAAAAGAGGACAGGATAGAGGAAGGGGCTGTTTACGGAACCTTGAACCTGGCCACAGACTGGGCTCTGCCCTGGCTGTTGGGGGGAGTGACTCTTGTCTCGCCTAGCTGGTGGCAGGGCTGGGACTCAAATCCAGTTGTGTCCGATTAGGAGGCAGCAGTGCAGACCCTGTGTTTTCTAAAAGAAGAGGCTGGAGAGGACAAGGTAGTTTGAGGGGCACTGCCAGAGTGGGGCAAGGGGGGGCCGATATCCCAGCAGGGAGGAGTTCAAGAAGAGTCCATTGTTCCAGCTTTGAATTTCTCCCAGAATGTCGGGTGTGGGGAGGGGAGCCATTTGCCTTCTCCACGTCCCTCTTCTGGGGTAGGTCCCAGAGCCCTGGGTGTGGGGACCCATGGCACTGCTTGAGAAAAGACTGCATGTGTCAACTTTTCCAAAACTGGAGTTTTCGATAAACTGTACAATTTCCCAACGAGATTAGGTCCACCTGGACCTCTTCATCCTCCTCATCTTCCTTATCCACCCCACCGTACGCCCTGGAGACCAACGCCACCAGACGTGATGTCACGTAAGCCGCTTTCTGACCCTCTGAGGGCCTAGTTTCCTCAAGATGAACCTGCCCATAGAGTTGGATGAGATAAAGCACCAAGCACAGGGCTAGGCACAGACCAGGGAGAGTTGCTGTAAGGTATGACATTAAATAACGTGTCCTTTATTTTTACTGAATTGGATTCATTACACTCTGGAGGCTGGCTCTGGATGGAACGTTCTAGAAAGGGAAGGTTTCCTCCATTCCCAAAGCCAGGAGTAGTCCCTTGAGCTGTTTCTGATCTCCAAATCTGGACTCAGACACAGCCGCAGGGCCCGGCTGGACCCTGTCTCCTCAGCGTTTTCCCTAATAGCATGCTCTTCTGGTTGAAAAATCTCTTTGCAAAGGCTCGTCCAGATTGGGTGTAGGTGTGGCAGGGGTTGTGGTATTGGAGCTTGGTGGGTGGCAGGTGGCAGTGATGGCTGGAGGGCTTGCCGATTGCTTTGAATCCTGACTGCCTTCTCCCTTTCTGTTCCTGGCTGTTCCTGCACTAATGCCTGTGTCAGGGCTATCAGCTACCTCATTTCTTGATGAACATGACATGGACTTAAGAATCAAAGGTACCTCCAGGCAGCAATAGATTCTGGCCCCATAGCAGGGAGAGCCTGGGAGGGAAGAGCCCGGGGAGCTCTACGAACCTGTCGCGGGGGTTTCTCAATGGAGAGGGAGCCCTGCCACACCCATCTGCTACTCCATTCCTCAACCCACCCCTCCCCAGGAAGGGGCTGCCTAAACCCAGACTTCTTCTTCTTTCAGAAACAACCACGGCATCCCCACACCCCGGTAAGTGCCAGCTCCCCTCAGCCCCCCTCACCGTCCTCACCCCCAGCCTGCTCTACCTGCCCCCAGAACCACACCTGCTGTCCCAGCCCCCATCCAGCCTCCTTCCGTCATCCTGCTGCTGCCTGGGCAGAGTGTGGACCGGCTCTGTGTGGACCTCAAGCGCTCTCAGGGACCGACAAACCTGCTTTCAGACCCTGGCCAAGGTGAGAGGTGCACACCCAGTCATACACCCAGAGAGACCCAGGCACCATGCACCCCCAACTTCCCACCCCAGAAAAAGCGGTGGGAAACCTGCCCACAGAGACTCACGGGCAGTCCTCGTCCCAGGTAGTAACATGGCCACGCCCCTGAGCACCGACACTTGTGCTCATACGTCTTCCCCACACACCTTTCACTGGGCACCACATATGCAGGCCTGAGTGGCCTGCACCCCAGGATGACCAGATGTGGGCTTGCCCCCAGGCACTGCCATACTTCAGGGTTGGGGAGACAGGCCTGGGCACAGAGCAGCACAGGGGCCTGTCGTCCGTGCCCAGAGCGCCGTGGAGACAAGCCCAGAGGAGGAGATGAGAGCTGTCCTAGGGTCAGGGGAGGCTGCACAGGGTCATATGGGGGTGACTGGGCCTTGGCAGAGAAATGGGGGGTCCACAAGGTAGAGGAAGGGGTAGGCAGAAGCACAGAGCCCTGAAGGAAGCTGGTGGGGCTGTAGGGGGTGTGGAGGAAACAAATGGGGGGAGGAGGTAGATGTGCTGGCCAGACCTGCCCCCGAGTCCCCAGAAGGGTGGAGCTGAGCTGTCAGGTCAGACGTGGGGACACACAGCACTGGGGATGCTCAAATGCACACCTGCAGAGCCACTCACAGTCAACAAACATCTACGGCCCCCTCGTTTCCCCCAGGCCTCACACACTGTCTCCCGCTTCATCATGCCAGGCCCAGAAGTCTGTTTGCTCCCTGAAGCTAGGGAGCACTGATTTTCCCTCCCACTCTTGGCCACGGTGCCCAGCTCAGGGTCAGGCACACTGCAGGGGCTTCACGCGCGTTTACTGACTTCACACGAGACCTCCCTCCTCAGAGGGCTCGTCTGAAGATGGCTGTCACCCAAGACTTGGGGGCCCCTCCAAAGCTATAGGGAACCAAGGGATGAGTGGAAAGACTGTGGGAAGCAGGCCCGTGGTGTGAGGGGAGGCTGGGGAAGGGGACCGGAGGTGAGTGGGTGAAGAGCGGCTCGGGGGGTTGTAGCCGGAGGGACCACCTGTTCAGGCCAGTGCCCAGCTGGGACCACAGCTTCGACCTCTCTGCTCCCGGCCCTCTCAGGGATTGAGGTGACTGGCCACTATGAGACAGAGAAGGCCCACTTCTCGTGGATTGAGGTGACCTTCAAGAAACCCCAGCTGCAGGTTCGTGCATCCCCTGAGCATGTGGTAGTGACTCGGAACCGAAGAAGCTCTGCATACAAGTGGAAGAAAACTCTGTACTCGGTGATGCCAGGGTAAGCCACAAGCTGGGGACCGGCGGTGACCCCTCACCCCATGTTAGCTGGTGATGGGACGCCACAGGCCTGGGGAGGGAGTGGCTGGGCATGAGTCCTCTGCAGTGGGCCGCACCCACAGGAGGGGCAGAGATGCACAGAGCCCTGTACCTACCCCTCCTGCTCTGGAGGGTGCCAAGGGGTTGTCCCGGGGACCTGGCTACCCTCACACCTAACCCAGGTCACTGTCCTGTGCAGGGGATGGTGTGGTTTGGAGCTGCTCTGCTGAGTGACCCTAGGCAGGCTGCTTAGCCCCTCTCACTTCTAACTAGGGATAATCATCCGGCCCTGAGTCAGAGGGCTGAGGGGATGGTCCAGTGAGAGAATGTGGTCGGGGAGCACTTTGCCCACAGACAGTACGGTGCCCACTGGGCATGCGGGAAGGTGCGCTCTCTATGTGGTGAGGTAACCCTGACAACGAGAGGTTGGAGAGCGCTGTCCATCAGGGGAGGTTACAATTGTCATCCTTAACTTTGAAGCTCTATTGAGGAGAGACAGGTCCCTCTGACATCAACACCGGGCAGCTGGGGGGTAGTGGAGAAGGATGGTGACCTCTTCTTGTGGGGCTTCCCCTGTGTGGAGCCTTGCAGAGGTAGCTCTCCTGCTCTGGGAGTCACGAGGGGCCTGGGAGAGAGGCCAACGACCCTGGCCCTCTTTGAGCCATGTTCTCTGAGCCCCCAGCCTGTGCTGAGTATGTTGTCCGCTCCCTCTCACCCAGCCCCTCCGAAGAGACTGGTTCCCACTTGATACATGAGTGCACACCTGGCAAATCTGAGGGGCTCACCTGAAAAGCTCCCAATTTCATAAAAGATCTTAGTTTCCTGCTATCTGGTAGACACACAAAGATCAATAGCATTTCTGTGCCTTGGACATACACACTAGAAGATGGAATAAAGGATTCCTATCAATCGTGGTGACTGAACGTCCACATACTTTCATGAGCTGCAGAAGATGCACGTAAAGAAAAATAGACCACGGCTTTTACACTGAACTCTGTCAACAAGACGGTGTAAGTTTAGCGCGTTTCCATTGAAAATAACCTCCGAGTCACAGCAGGGTCTTATTCAACATGCTTAAAGGAATCTAACGTTCCTAAGAAAACAAAAGTGGTAATAATCTCAAAGATTATTTTAAGTGAAAAAGGAAGGCATTCGAGAAGGACTTGCCCTTCTAGACCTTAAAACACATGATTAAACACTGATCATCAGAAGAAAGTGGCACTAGCCATAAAAACAAAAGGGACAGAGGAAATGTATCCTTGAACCCCTAAGTCATATAATTCATGAGAAGCCAAATCTAAGAAAACCAGAGGGAGAGGAACCGTTATCTCATGTTATAAATAATCCTGGGATAGGGAACTTCCCTGGCAGTCCAGTGGTTAAGACTCCGCGCTGCCACTGCAAGGGGCATGGGTTTGATCCTTGGTCAGGGAACTAAGGTCCCGCATGCCGTGCAGCACGGAAAAAAAAAAAAAAAAAAGGTAAATATATAAATTTTTCTATATATATATATATATATATATAAAATGCTGGGATAACCAGGTATCAGTGAGTTAACCTTGGTCCCAGTTGACTGAGGAAACTGAAGCCCAGAAGATTGAAGGGACCTTCCACCAAAGACCACACTAGGAGATCCTGAGGACAGGAGCGCAGCCCCTGCCCACTGCCACGCTGCTGCCCAGGCCCCCTGCGGGCACCTCCTTGCCTCCCTTCCTGCTCAGGACACAGGTTTCCCCACAGTCTCAAGATGACCATGGACAAGGCGGGGCTTCTGCTGCTCAGCAGCCCTGACAGAGTGACCATCGGCCTGCTGTCCTGGCACGGCCCTGGGGCGGGGCTCCGGCTCCTTCTGCGGGACACTGACCGCTTCTCCAGCCACGTCAGTGGGACCCTTGGTACGTGGCTCGGGACGTCATCAGAAACCGCCTCTGCCTGTGAACAGGCAATGCCATCACCTCTGCACGTCCCCCAGCCTCCCTCCATCTTTATTCCTCGCTGAGCCGCCCTTTGTGTCTCAGGCCAGTTTTACCAGGACGTGCTCTGGGAGCCCCTGGCAGCAGCAGGTGACAGCAAGCGAACACTGAGGGTCCAGGGGCATGACCACTCTGCCACCAGGTGACTCAGCACAACAGGCCACTGAGCCCGGCCAGGGGTGGGGCTGGGAGCCGGGCTCTGAGACCCCCACTCCTCTGTCCCTGCCTGGGAACTAGACAGTCAGGTGTCAGGTTAGACAAGTCTGACCCAGCTTTCAGTGGCCCCACAAAGGGTGGTCAACTCAGACCCACAGAAAACATACCAGCCCAGAGATCACTAGAGTGAGTTGGGAGCAGTAGGAAACTCCCCCTGAATTCCTAGAGCCCTGGCCCCTGGAGACCACACACAGCTGGGTGCCCTTGGGTGGCCAGGCCTTGTCAGCCTGTGCTGGAGAGAACTCTAAGGGACCCCAAGACCCTCCACCTTCCACATTCCTATCCCTAGCTGTCTCCCTCTCTTCCCACCCAACATGAGACATGCTGACCACCTGTCTGTCTGTCCATCCCAGAGAGCTCAAGCTGGACTACCAAGAGGGGCCCCCGGGAACGGAGATTTCCTGCTGGTCTGTGGAGCTGTAGTTCTGATGCAAGGAGTTATGCCCACCCACCGTGCCACCTGCTCGGTGCAGATGGCTGCCACCCTGCGACCACAGGGCCACCTGTGGGTCCTGTAACATCATGGGGAGAGGTATTTACACTCATTAAAATAAAGAGAGGTGGTGTGAACCCAGGGAGTGGGCATCTCTGGTCCCATCTGGCCAAATCCCAGAGCCTCAGGATCACGCCCTGGACACGTAGCGTGTGTAACATTAGAATCATCTGCCATCAACCCTTCAAAAGCCTGAGGCCAGTAAGGCCCATGGAGAGCTTTCAGTCTGGTCCCTTCATTTCTCAGGCGGGGAAACTAAGATTTAGAGAGATTTAAACCACCCAGTCAAAACGTTGCTCTTGCTGGGGGCCTAGGGCAGGAGAACACTCCTGGGAGCAGCGTTCACTCTGCTTTATGGTGACATGGTCCATGAAAACCAGTTTTGACTCAAAAGAAGAAAAGTGACCTGGGTAGAAGTTCGTCATTCTCAGCAAACTTTTGGGCCCTTTTGCAGTGGGATTTGCCAGACATAATTTGATTTTCACACCTGTGCTCAGGAACAGGCCTGTCTTCTCACCACCTTGCAGAGAAGCTGGCAGTGGAAGACAGAGGAGACAGAGATGAGGCCCCAGTCCCAGGAGGGAAGCAAGGGTCTGTTCCCAGGAGCTTGGGCTGTTGAGGGTCTCCTCTCCTGTTTGTGCCCCAGGGTTAGGCACCCCAAAGATTCCACCCAATTCTTGCACAGGCAAAGCATACTTTCAAAACATTTATAATTATTTCACCTACTTCTTCAAAAATGACACAAGTCTTTGGCTTACAAATAAAAAGCATAAAGAGAATAAAACCAAAAAACATGAGAATGAAAATAAGAGAAAAGAGCCAAGCAGGAGGAGAGTTAAATCAGAGACACCAGGGTAGGGGAAGCTGTAGCAGCAAAAAAGCTTTGCTCTGAGCTTCCTGGCAGCCAGGGTAAAGCAGAAAACGAGTTCATTTGCTTGCTGAGAGGGAGCAAACCAGATCAGGGAGAACATTCTTTTCCCAGCTCTTGAGCTATACAGGGTGTTTGCTGAGTAAGTCTTTCTAGAAGGGTAGAAGAGAGGCCGGTGGGAGGGAGGGGTCTTCAGCAGCAAGTTTGCCCAACACTCAGGAACACTCTTTCCTGCACCACTGCCTCCCCATCAAGCCTGGGTGGCAGGCAGGGGTCTCAGGCAGAGTCACTTCGTGAAGGTCACTCAGAGGGGCTCAGACAAGAGCTCAGCGAGACAAGGGAGCAGCTTCGGGGGCTCCGCTGGACTTGCTGTGGGGCTGGCCCTGACGTAGCGGAACGAGACGCCGCCACCTGGGCTGGGCTGTGGCATTTGTGCCACAACAGCGGGGTCCTGGGTGACTTTCTGGCCCAGCCTGCACCTGGAGTGCGTGAGTTCTCTGTGAGCAATTGGAAGTAGGTCCATGCATGTCACTGTTTTGTTGACTGCGTGCTTTCCAGCACCTGCGTGGTCCAGGCCCTGGGCCACGTGCTGCAGGTACATTGGGCACCTGACAGACACAGCTGCCACCCAGAGGACAACCAGGTGCCACAAGGAGCCCAGAGGGAGGCATCTTGCCCAACCTGAGGAATATCAGGGGAGGCTTCCTGGTAGTGTCATGGTTGGGATTGGACTGGAGTTGAGTTTTGAAGAATAAAGAAAAGTTAGCCCAGTGGAAAAGGAGGGCAGGGACACCAGGGCCAGAGCCAGGACACTGCACTGAGTCCAGGAAGGTAAAGGGAAGCAGTGCCGTGGGGTGAGGTGGAAGGGATGCTGGCGAGGTGGGGAAGCAGCCCCAGGCCAGCACCAGTTGCGTACACCTCGCCGTGGAGCTTGGCTTCTATCCTGAAAGCCCAGGGAGCCTTCAGAGGCTGTAGGCAGGGACAGGCACAGCCAGGACGAGGTGGGACTGGGCAGAGGACAGACCTCCCTGACTGTGTGTTGGGGGAGGGGGCAACGTTTGGGCTGGGCACATCCTGCTGCCTTTCTCCCAGCCCGCTGGGTTTGGTTGCTAGCTGGAGCAGCAGGACAAAGATAGGCACCTCAGGAGGACCAGAAACTACCGTGCCGATGCCTCTTTGCACGCTCTATCTGGCAGGATCCTTCTCCCCGTTTCATAAATGTGAAAACTGACCTCAAGATGACTGGTTTAAAGCTACATGGCTCCTCAGCCGACCTGGGACTGCCCACTTTAGGGTGTCCCATCCCAGGCCTGGGCCCTTTCTGCCAGCCCAGCCTGGACCTCTGAAGCTTTCAGTCCAGGGCCCTGTCTCATGCGGCCCTCTCTCTAGAGCAGTAACAGCGCCTCAGGGGCTCTTCTGGTGATGGATGTTCCCTCCTGGATTGCCCTTCTCCAGCCCTCTCCAAGCCCCCAAGCCAGTGTGGGCCCTGGGTAACCCTGTCCTGGCTCAGACAGGGGGGGCCCTGGAGTGGGAGGTAGCAGAACTTCCTGGTGAGCGATGGCCAGACCCCACTCCACCCCACCCCGCTGGCATTCAAGACCTTCCCCAATCTGACTGCAACCTCCTCCGGTCTTACTGTGTCCCCCGCTCTGCCATAAGCGAAGCCACCCAATACTTCCTTCAGCCGGGTACCTTCCGCCCAGCGTGCCGTCAGCCCCTCAGGCAGAGAGAACAGCAGAGGCAAAGGATCTGGGGAAGGAGGGGTTGTGTTTGCAGAACTGGAAGAAGTTTGTGTGCCTGGAACGCAGACAGTGAGAGGGAGAGACCACAGGAAGGACTTTTGTCTTTGTCCCAAGAACCCTGGGTGGGAGATGTCATTTATAGGGTTTCAGACAGGGAATGATGACCAGGTCTGCACTGCAAAAAAGGTGTCTCTGGAAGCAGGAGGGCTGGGGAGGGGCAGTTGCTGTTGTCCGGGTGGGAGAGGGTTGTCCAGGCTGAGAGCCCTCAGAGCCCCTTCTCTAGGAACCTCTGGCTGACCCCCACCCCACCCAGGATTTACTGTGAGGGTGCAGCAGGTGGTCACCGTGAGGAGTGACTGGAGGATCCCAGGGATCCCCAGCCCAGCTGAAGGGGAACTTGGGTACCCATGCAAGCAGGACCTGGGTTATTAAACTATGTGCTCCCAGATCCTACCCCAGAATTTTGGGTTTACCTGCTGAATAGATGGGTTGTTGGGGGGAGCAGGGGATGGGCGGGCAGATGGATGGCGAGACGATTAGAGTGGAAGGGTGGGTGGCGTGCACAGCTAGCTGCAGGCTGGGTCTGCCCTGGAGCACTCTTTGCTCCTGAGTCATAGAAGGAGCTTCAGGCCTAAAGGTCCTGGTAAGAGCTTATGAGCCACGACCCTGACTTTTCCTCTGATCCTCCTGAACTCTGAAATGTAGTCAGTCCTTCCCGACTTCTCAGAGCCTCTTTGCTCTCGAGTCAATTCTTGATTTTTTCCTTCCCCAACCATCACGTGTTTAACTCCCCATAGTACCACCCCAACCAACTGTGTCTTTCAGCCACATCGGTGGAGAGGCCCAGGAAGTTGCCTTCCTAGCAGCCAGCCCTTCCTTCGAGCTGCCTGTCCCCTGGAGCAGGGGCTCATGGAAGCATGCAGACACTGGTAGCCGTCCGGTTTCTCCTTGGCCTTTACTGTCACAGCCCTCCATCAGGCCCCACTCTGTGCCTCTGTTCCAGATGCCATGCAAGCCCTGCCAGCCGCCTCAGTAGGACCTGGCATGTCCACTCAGAACAGGCTAGGGACAATGTAGTCGCTGTGGACGCCGTCAATCAGCCCTTGCCCATTGTTGTGGACGAACCAGCAGGCAACTTTTGTGCCAGCGCTGACGTCCTTCCTGTAGTCCTTCTGGGAGCCCCTGGGAGAAAGGAGAGAGATGCCGTGATACACGGGGTAGGCAAGATGGCTGCTGCGCCCAAGGACCTAAGGTTGAAAAGGGGTGTGAAGTTGCCAATTCTAGGAGTCCAGACTCTGGTCAAGAATGAGGCCTTGTGGTTACTCCTTCTAGTGGGTCAGATTTGGCCTTTTCCCAGTTAGAGGGGGCCAAGACCCCAGAGGGAAACAAGGATGCCTCACAGACGACAAGAGCCAGCTGGGCTGATGTGCGTGGGCAGAGAGAGCTCCTTCCTCCTGTCTTGTTACAGGGCAGGGTGAGGACGTCAGTAGAGTCTCCTCACCGGGTAACCGTCAGCCGATGGTTCTTCACCACCATTGTGGCATCTGGCTTTGTGGGGTCAGAGCCTGGGTGGACGTCAGACACTTTAAAGTCAAAGGGGTGGAAGAATTGTCCTGGGAATAAAAACATTCACACTGTCAGCCCTGCCACCACCATATGTGACATAGCCACTGGCCTTCCAAGGTAGATGCAAAGGCTGGATGGGGTGTTGAGCCCTGGGTCCAGGGTGGCTAGGCTGGCCCTTTGCATGGCTTTTTCCCTCCACCATGTGGCCTGAACAACCTGAGGCTTGAACGTTTCGTACCCAGCAGCCCATGTGTCTGTGCTGACATCCGATGACTGTCCACTACATAGAAGCCCAGGAAGTCATGGTGGATGGGCTGTTTCTTCCACACCTGATGCAAGACAACCACAAAAGTAACCCCATCTCCAAAGGAGACCACCATGTTCTTCCTGTCAATCGTCACAGACAGTCTAGGAGAGAAGAGGAGGTCAGCAGTGAGGCCCAGTGGCCATGACACCAGGCATCTGAATCAAGGGTATCTCAGCAGGAGACATGACACCTGAGAGCACACAGATTCCAGAAACTATGTCAGGGGTGTTGGAGAGAAGACGCTCATGCATGTTGACTGTGCACTCCACTGAGTGGGTCCCTGCTCCTCTGTAAGCAGGAGAAGGGGCTGTCCTGGGCGTCTGGAGGCCCGGGATCGAACCCCAGCTCCACCACTGGCTTCCTGTGCGACATTGGGCAGGTTCTGCCCCTCTCTGAGCCTCTGTGGAACTAACACCGCTGCCCTGCCCACCCAGCTTGGGGTGATCTGAAGACACACGAGAGGCTGAGGAGTTTGAGAACAAGCAAGTTCAGCCAGACACGATGCATGTAGGGATCTTTGTCGCTATCAGCTTGCTTGCCAGGTCCACCTAATGCTTTCGTCCACACAGCCCTTCACTCAAGGTCAGTCCTGTGAACTGTCTAGCTACCAATACTGCCTCTGATGGGGGCCCCAGGGGTTGGTGGGGGGCCACCATGGTCACCCTCCTGTAGGCAGGGGCTGAACTCTGAGGCCACTGGTCTTTTCTGTGACCCCTGTGGATCTTCTGTCCTGCGATTTGTTCAAATCCCTCCTTAGACCCTTGCACTATAGCGCCTCTCAGAGACCCAGTAGTGGGGCTTTACCCATCCTGTGTGACCGTGACCGTGTCCAGCCAGCTGAACGTGCTCTGTGCAGCCCCATGCCACAGGGTGATCCTCTCCGGTGTCACCTCAATCTGGAAGTCCATCTGAGCATTGGCAATGCCCAGCTTGCCAAAGTAAGTCTTTCTGGTCTGGGAGTCCAGGCTGCTTCTCTTCTCACCAATGATCTGCCCGTTAACTGTGAGGCCTGCCAGAGGGGCAGGGTAGCAAGAGACCAGCAAGACCTGAGTCCAGGCTGGTCTTTAGGGACGCACCTTCCCCTTCAGCCAGACCTACTGAGGGGTAGCCCAGTGGGGGCCCCATTGAGAGACCAGGACTTCAGAGCCAACCCTGTCTGTTCTTAGACACATGGGGGTCACACTACTGGCTGAGGGCCCACACTGTGGATCTGCCCCTTGCCTGGGCCAGTGTTGTTCAGACAAAAATGATTCCCTACACACAGGCTGGGTCCTGCCTGCATGCCCAGGCTGCACTTAATTCTAACCATCTCCCCAACACCGCTGGCCCCGGGGGCACTAGGTGAGCCTGTGGCTCTGGGTGGAATCTGTAATCCCTACAGGATGTAATCTGTGCATAAGATGGGTGGTTTATAGGCAGAGTGAGGAGCTAGTCCATGTGCCTATCCTAGGGACTCCAGGCCCTCCCAGGAAGAGACCCTGGCCCCAGCCCGCAGCCCCCACCTGTGACAGGGTCCTGAATGAGGCGCAGCACTGTGCCTGGCTCTTCGTCGATGTTGAAGCAGATGGCATCGTCCTTCTCTGGAACTTGGATGATGAAGTGGGGGTCCCCATCCACTGAGTGCACACAGAGAAAGGGCTGGCTTCCAGGGTCTCTTACTGTTCCGGGGCCCTCCCCTTGCCTCCTAGTCTCCGTGGGATGGACTCCTAAACAGGTAGGAGGCACTTGGCCCTGGGCCCTGGGCCACGCCCCAGGAGCTGGGGAACTCACCGTAGTAGGGTGTCTGGGGAGGCTGGGAGTTGGCTGTGGACGCAAAGGGAGAGAGGGCTGAGCTAAACAAGCAGGCGGGGAGGGTCCAGGACCCCCACCCAGAGTTCGGTTCATGCCTCTCCCCTTCCTGCTCCGTAATGCTCTTAAACCCACACCTTCCCTCGTCTCCTCAGGACCCCCCAACCATCTGCCTGTCCCAGAGAGCTGATTCAGGAAAGACTCCGGAGGGGGATGGCACACGGCCACGCTCTGTGGCAGCTGGCACGTACTCACTCAGGTAAGCCATGGAGGGGATCACTGAAAAAAGAAGCCAAAGGGCAGGCGTGAGCAAGGTCTAGGGGTTCCCTCCACCCAACCCCATGCCTTCTACCTGTCTCGGAGCTGCTGGTCCCCAGTGGGGCCCCAACGCTGACAGATAGAGGGTGGGAATATGACCCCCTAAGTTTAGGCTTTAGAAATGGGACATGCCTAGGAAACTCCTTTCTAGGGCTGGTGGGTAATATGGGTGTAATGTTAATACTGGGGCTCAGCACTTCCACGTAGCTAAAATGCAAGCCATTAGGTGGTCAGTTTCTGTGTCAGGAGCAATGCCGTCCCCCACCCCTGAACTCCAACCCCCAGGGTGGGATGAGGCTCACAGGTGATTGTTGTCTTTGGTAGTAAAACACCCACCCAGATGCAGGCAGGCACACACACACACACACACACACACACACGCACACGCACACGCACGCACAGTGACTACATTTCACAGGGCTGTTCAGAGGGCAAAGCCATGACCCATTCCAAATATACTGCTTGGTTAGGACAGCCTGTATGGATAGAGACAAGGCAGGCCGGTAGGGGCTGGGGAGGCCCTGACTGGTGCTGGTGGGTTTGTGGGGCGGGTGATGGTCAAATTTTACAATGAGAGAAACGCAAAGTGCTGTTAATTCCAGCGCAGGCACTGGAACCAGGCTGCCTGGGCCAAAGTCCTGGCTTGGCCTCCTGTTGACTGAGTCATTGAGCAAATAGATTTAACCTCTCTGTGCCTCAGTTTCCTCACTGTAAAATGGAACCATGAGAGGACTCCCTTAAAGGATTGCTGTGGGATTAGTCGAGTGCTAATTGAGTTGCTAATTTTTGTAGGTCACAGAATACTTTCATACTGATTGTCCTTCCTTGGGCAGGGGAAGCTACCGTCAGTCAACTGACGAGAACCCTTAGGCTCAGAGTGGAACAGAGCCCAGCCCCAGGCCCCTGGTGAGTTCACAGCAGAGCTGGGAGCTAAAACCAGGTGTCCTGAGGGCCCCTCCCCAGGCAGTACATCCCCAGCATGATTGAAAAGGCCTCCTTGGTCCTCTCTTGCCGTCCTCCTGGGACACCCACCCAGCTGTGGCTAAAGCTCACCTTCTGCATCCACAGGCCCTGGGAGGGAGGAAGAGGAGAAATGCATTAGAGGCCACAGACTCCTGGTGTCAGGGCCAATATGACCGACTTACTGCCTGGCCAGCCAGCCCCAGGCCTCGTGTGGCCCCTGCAGGAACCAAGAGCTCCTGGAGGCAGAGGCCTGGCCCAGACCGGCTCTTTACCTCCCAGCCCCAACCCTCATGGCCTGTGCCAGTTGCAGGGACACTCAGGACCCCCCCTGTTGGGGTCTGGTTGAGCAGGCCTGGTCCCAGCCTCCAGCTCTCAGGGCCGCTTCCTCTCACAGTCCCCAGGCACCTGCTCCAGGCCTAACTTTTAGGTCAGAAGTGCTTCTTCTTGTCTAACTGAACCCTTCCATGCTGCAGCCTAAGTCCCTTTCCTGGAAATGACCCTGGGCACTGTGCCCTTTTAGAAACTTCAAGGCTCCTATTCACACTAATGGCTTCGCTCCCTCTACAACACCCTCCCCATGCCTTGGCCTGTTTTCCTTCGATGCCTCCAGGACCTGCGCTTCTCAGAAGGTCTGGTCTCCTCAGCCTGGCCCTCTTCTCTTCAGGGCACCTAAGGCCAGGGGCCTGGAAGAAGGCCTCTGAGTTCTGGCCCCCACCCTCCGTGCCCACCTTCCCCAGGCTTGTCGGCAATGGCTGTCTTGTTCTCGTTGTCCTCAGGCTTGGTCACCACCATGGAGGTCAGTGGAGTCACGAAGTGGTACTTGAGGGACAGGTCCAAGGTCTGGGCTGTGAGGTTCTCCTTCTCCTCGCCATGGGCATTCTTGCTGTGGGGAGGGGCGGGGTGGGAGGGTCAGCCCAGGACCCTCCTCCACCCCTCCCAGTGGGGTCCCCCAGGATAGAGCCCACTAGCACTCAGAAAAAACTGGTTCACCAGCTCCCTGGGACAGAGGGACATGCCCTGATTCCTCTCTGGACCTCAGTTTCCCCACCTGAAAAATACAAGGGGCTCAGGATGGCCACTGCAACAATCAGTCGTGGTGGTGCTCACATGCTGAGCGCCAGCGGCTTTCCTGGCCGAGCCACTTAACAGAAGGCCGACACGGCCCTCTCGCGTGGGCCCGAGCTCTGCTGCCTGTGGCTGAGGCCTGGGGTCCCAGCCTTTGGTTGTGTTCAGCATCAACATCTCTGTGGGCCCATGCTGGGTGCCGGGAACAGGATGCTAAGGCCCACCCCTGCCCTCAAGGTGCTCCCAGCCTGCTGCTTGAGCCCCAGATGATGGACCCGGCTCTACTCCAGGGGAAACAGGCCATGGGGCCTGGCCAAGAAGAGGGCAGGGCAGCTGGAGTGGGCGTGGAGGTGCACTTCCTGGGGTGTAAGTTTCCTCCTCGTGGGCTTCCCCCGGAGCATAGCCAGCACAGGGGGCTTCACAGGTAGGTGCTGGGGCAGTGCTGGGGGCTGAGTGCGGGGCCCGGCCATGTGAGAGGTGGGCCAGGGTCACCGTTTCTCCAGCAGCTGCTCGATAGTGAGGTAGGCCCAGAGCCGCTCAATGTAGTTCCCAAAAATGTAGTCCCGCTCCTTCAGGGCCTTCTCCACCTCCTTCATGTCCAGCTCCTCAGTGAATGTCAGGTCGTTGATGGCCTGGGGCAGGGGTGGGAGAAGGTGAGAGGCTGGAGGCCTGGAGCCAGGAGCCAGGTGGGCCTTGTTCAGGAGCTGCTACTGCTGGGCCGTCAGCCAGGAGGCTGGAGCCCTATCCGTGCGGATCCCCCATCCCCAGCGCACAGCCGGGCCCCGGCCCAGCTTACCCCATGGCCCTTCACGTCCGCCTTAAAGCTGTTCATGTCCTCATCTGCCAGGCGCCCAGCCACCACAATCTCAGAGCCGTCGTAGAAGTGCTGGTAACTGTTCTGGGTGAGGTCCAGGATGGCATTCTCAGGGTACTCCACCTCCACATCTGTCAGCAGCGGGTTGGCCACCTCCTCATAGAAGCCCTGGAGTCCAGATAGGGGACCTGCTCATCTCAGGCCACCAGGGTGGGCAGAGAGAGGACAGGGTGGGCAGGCTCCCACTGGCGCCTCCGCGGGTTGTTGAGTCTCCCAGGCTGGGCCAGTCCTGACTCCTGAGCTCTACTTCCATGTGGCCCTGACTGTGCCCTTCAGTTTGGGGGAGCCCTTCCTCACTGCGTTCCCCCCTCCCCCCAGGTAGAGACTGGGAGGAATAGAAAAGGAAAGGACAGAGTTCTCGGCACATAGAAAGGACTCAAGAAATGTTTGTTGGAACAAAAGTAAGAAGGAAGGGTGGAAGCCGACTAAAGAAGGCGATGTGGGGTGAGAGCATGGAGACCCGGAGACTGACAGGAGGAAGGCCGGGGGTGTCCACTGCAGAGGTGGAGAAGCAGTCACCTGTGCCAGGGAGGAGGGGGAGGGTACCAGATTTAGCAAATGAAAATACAGGACATGAGTTAAACTTGAATATCAGGTAAATGACAAGTGACTTTTTAGTATAAGTACAGCTGTCATGGGATGAATTGTGTACCCTCAAAATACATAGGTTAAAATCCTTACCCCCAGTACCTCAGGGCATGACCTTATTTGGGGAAAGGGCCTTTACAGAGGTAATCAAGTTAAAATGAAGTGTTCAGGATGGACTCCAATCCAATCCGACTGGTGTCCCTATGAAAGGGGGAAATTTGGACCCAGAGACAGACATGCACACAGAGAAGATGATGTGAAGATACAGGGAGAAAATGGCCATCCACAGGCCAAGGAGAGAGGCCTGGAACAGATCCTTCCCTCGCAGCTCTCAGAAGGAGCCAGCCCTGCTGACACCTTGATTTTGGAGTTCTAGCCTCCAGAACTGTGAGACGATAAATTTCTGTTGTGGAAGCCACCCAGTTTATGGTAATTTGTTAAGGCAGCACTAGTAAACTAATACAGTGTCCTATGCAATATCTGGAGCATGCTTGCTAAAAAATTATTTGCTGTTTATGAGAAATTCATATTTAACTGGATGTCTTGTATTTGATCTGGCAATCCTACAGAGGAAACAGGTCTGTTCTGTGTAGCCCACAGACAAAATCAGAACCAGTATGGATGGGTAAGAGATAACCAGAGGTAGATTTCAACCCAAGAGGAAGTTCTTTCTAATAACCGAAACTGTCACACAGTGGAACAGTTTCCTGAGGAAGTAGTGAGCTTCTTATTCCCAGAGGTGTGCAAGACAAGGCATACCTGCAACTGCACGTTGGCATCGGAATCCTCATAAATGCGGCGGGCAAGCCCGTGGTTCTCCAGGGCCATACGCTCCAGGAAGTTATAATTCAGATTGTTGCCAAAGCCCAGGTTATATAAGGGGAACTTGCCACCAATGGCATTCCGCACATTCTCTTGGATTTTTTCAGGTCTGCTTTCACCTACAGGAGAAGGAGGTGTTCACGCTCCAGCCACAGCCCCGGCAGCTGTCAGGAGAAGCTGTGTCTGGACAGAGCTGACTCCTACACGTGCAGTTGGCGGAGTCATGGCCACCAGCCCTTGTAGAGGCAGACGTGGGAAGGCCTGGCAGGGAGGCAGGGCCCTGCCCTTGAGGGGCTCACAGACCATGGGGGACCCTGGAGAGAGCTGCCCAAGGTCTTGCAGCACGCCAGCTACAGAGCCAGGAGCGGCAGCCAGAGTTACACCTGCTGCCTCACCCACATTGGCGTCCCCGTCGGTCAACATGATGACAATGGAGGTGCTCCTCTCCAGGACTCTGTACTCCTCCCGGGCCTTGTTCAGCATACTGATGCCCTTCAGCAGCGCGTCGTTGATGTTGGTCACTGGCACACAGACAGACAGACGGCACCGTGGGAGCGTGTCCTCAGGGTGCCAGGGTGGAGGAGGTCGAGACAGCAGGCCCTGCTCACGTGCCCAGGGACCCTGCCTGCCCATATGTGGTGGTACTCAGTAAATAACGACTGAATGACTCAGTGAGTGATGAATGAATGACTTAGTCTTTCAAATGAGTAAAAAAACCAGCCTCTCAGGGCTGCCGGAAGGATAGATGCACACGGTGATTGTAAGAGCAATTTGGAGAACAGTCAAATGGACTCCCAGCCCCTCTCACAAGGAGGAGTGGGGAACAGTATAGACATCACTTGTCATCTTTCATACAAAACTGCCATGGATAAGGGTATCTTGCTGGGGCTAGTGGGGCACCAGGATCACAGGTTAGAAACAGAAAGAATGGCTTTCCCTAGACCACAGAGAAGACACCCCAGTATCTAGCCTGAGGACTCCCCACCCCCACCTCTACCCCCAGCCAGGGTCTGCTGGGCCTGGACCAGCAGAGTCTCTGCCCCAAGGCAGGAGGGAGATAGGCTGCTCAGGCAGAGAGGAGTGGCAGGATGTGGCTCCCTCCCCTCTGTTCTTACTTCCTTGATCACGAATATTCATCACAAATTTCCTGGCCTCCTGGATGTTCTCAGGAGTGGCTTGAACTAAAGTGTCTTTCCAAGTGGTCACACCTCCACTGAACAGGATGAAATTCAGGTAGTCATCCTCTTTCACATCCTCCAGAATTTTGAGGAGGGCATCCTTTGTCTGGGAAGGAGAAAGACAAGCAGACGAGAAGATGTCTTCCCGGCCTGGGCTGGCAGTGAGGCCCATGCCACCTGCAAAAAAAGGGGCAGATGATTTGTTGTACCTTTTTAGAATCCTGTCCCCCTTTCCCATCTTTCACTGGAAATATTGGCTTCGTCCACTTTTTAAAAATCTCTCTCTCCCACCCACATGTCCCACCCCCACCCCCTTTGCACCAAGGAGAGTACCTGCTCCATTTTCCGACCGTGCATGGAGCCACTGACGTCAATCACGAAGACCACGTTCTTGGGCACCACCGGAAGGCCTTGAGGTGCAAAGAAGTGCACGAAGTAGCCATTGACGATCTGGAAAGGGGAGAGAGAGAGAGGAGGCCAGTATCCCTTCAGCAACCTCACGTTGGCTGCCCTTGCAAATAGGATGCAGCCGTTAACCAGCCCAAAATAAAGATGTCCTTTCCACCCCTCCAGGGGTGCCACACGAAGGCTCTGGACTACCTATCGTCCCCACACCTTGCAGAAAACTCATCCTTGGGCTGAGGATCAAGGGTGTCTCACTAGATGAAGCTGCAGCCCCTCCCCAGATCAGCCCTCACTCCACCATGGTGGGGAACCTACCAGCCTGGCAGAGCCAGTCGGCGGGTACCTACCTGCACATTGGCAGGAGACTCTCTGTTCACGTCATAGGTGATGATAAAATCTCCTTTGAGGAGGGAGTCCGTACAGGTTGGGCATGAACGTTGTTGATCCAAGCTGGGCTTGAAGGACACGTGGCCCTGAGGGAGGGTGATGGCCAGCCTTGCTCAGCTTGGCCAGGGCCTGCCCTCTGCAGACCTCAGCCTGGGGCTTCCCTGGGGAGCACGGTGCAGTCCTCATGGCGAGGAGCCTGTAGGTAGGTGCCTGGGCAGTCCTGCCACCCTCTGGGGTGCTCGGCCTTTCTGAGCACCTCTCTTCCCTTCGGAGATCTGGAGCTCCTTGGAGGCCAGGGGCCTTATCTGAGCCAACCTTTCACTCTTCCTGCTCACTGGGCCCACAAGTCCCTTAGCTCTGCCTGCACTAGGAAGCCACTTTGGGAGGGGAATTCTGCACCATGAAAAGGAATTTCATGTTGGGTGGTATTGTGTGTGTTGTTGCCAAGAGGAGGGGGAAGGGAGCAGAGTAGGGAATGGGGAGGGGGCCCTGGGTGAGGGCACCGCCTGCAGAGGCCAGCAGCCCTCTGAGCGTATGCTCCTTGGGCCTCACCCTGGGAGTCCTGACTGAGGTTTGCTGTCCATATAAACATTTATTCATCCACTGCCCATGATCAGCAAGGCCCCTGGAATTGCTGGGGACCTTGGGGACCAGAGCCAACCACCAGTATCAAGAATAAAGTTCCCTTTTTTCTTTCACCCCTCATGTGGAATCAGATCTAAAAAACTCCCTCTGGCCTCGGTCTCCTTATCTGTAAAACAGGGACCAGTAACCTGCCCTGCCTGCTTCCCAAAGTAGAATGGGACCAGGCTATATAAATGGCTTCCCTGTCCCCCAGTGCAGTTGAGACCCCAGTTCCTCCGGCAGGCCATCATCAGCAAGCAGCCCCCTGCCTCCAGCATCCTCACTCCTGACCCAGGGGGCCTGGGAGACAGGGGATGTTGCAGACTTATCCCCCCGCCACACGCACACACATGCACACACACACTCTCTCTCTCTCTCTCTCTCTCTCTCTCTCTGTCTCTCTCCCTTGCATCAGTCAAATCCCCAGGTTCAGACTCGCCCTGCTAGGGTCAGTGTTCCTGCACCTGCCCCCCAGGCCCGAGGGGCATCTACACCACCTTTTTCCCTGAGAAGGACTTGGTGAGAGCGCTGCTCAAGAGGTCATTGGTGATGAATGAGGCTTCAGCATCCAGCGTACTTATGCCCTGGGGCTCGAAGATGTCTGCTGTGATCTGAAATGGCGAAAGGTAAGGAGATGTCACTCAGTGACAGTGCAGAGCCCAGCCTCCAGGACAACAAGGGCAAGGAGATGGGTCAGTGATGCACAAGGAGCAGCCTCTAGGACAACTCTGTGACAGCCAAGCCTGCTGTCTCCCACCAAGAAAATGACCACAAGGGCTTTTAAGTGGGTACTCTGACCGCAGAACTCTTCTACTACCTGCCATATGGTGCCCCAGATTCTACCACTAAAGCATTTCCTTTGGCTTTCCGCTCTGATGTAGGTAAAATGCCCATGTAAGCAGTTAGAAGCATTACAGAGACACTTTGTGATGTTGCCCCCAAGGGCCCAGCACCCAACCTGGATCTGCCAGGTGCCGCCCAGCCTCCTCCCCTTGGCCCGGGTGCTGTAGCCAGCGCCACTGTAATTCCCCCACGCCTCCTAACCAAGTGGTGGGGGCTGGGTTTCTGTGTTCTTGACCCTGCTGTGGGGTCTGCCCAGGGACCCTTCCCAGCACCCTGCCCGCAGCAGTTTCAGCTGGGGCTGCAGGAGAGCAGCTGGTTACCTCAAAGTGCTTGACCAGTTGCTTGGGCTGGACCTTGAGGTACATCTCGTACTTGCCCTTGTGCCTCTTCAGCAGCTCCTCGTAGGTTAGCTCAAAGGTGACCTTGCTGCCTGCAGCCACATTGACTGAGACGGTGAATTTCTCCAGCTTCCTCCCAGAGGCCCTGGATGGGGGTGCAAGACAATGACTGCCCCAAAGACAGCACCAGCCCATCCTTCCTGGGCTTTGGGTCCAAGTCCCTTACGCTTGGGGGAGACCCCTACCCACTCTGAGCCTCGGTTGCCTCAAATTCAAAATGAGATAACGTTGTAAGAATTACGGCGCATTTTGCCAAATAATGATAATAATAGCTGCTGTTCTGTTGTTTGTGTCTCTGAGGGCCCTTACAGCCCTGACGTTCTCCCCAAGGCCTGGGGGCCCACACTTACTTGACCAAGCCAGCTGTCTTGCCCTGGGACACGGCCTTTTCATACTGCTTCTTGGCAACTTCCTTCTCTTTGACATTCCCAGGGTAGGTAACACCATCAATGGTCCTACAGGGATAGAGAGCTGCTGGGGGACTCATGCTGAGCCAGACTCCCCTCCTAGCCCAGAGCCAGCAGTCGTGATGACACCCACAAGGTGAAGTTGGTGATGAAGGCTGTCTTGGGCAGCTCCACATTGAAAGAAACCTCCTTGGCAGTGTCTGCGTGGTTGACGGCCCTGGTGGTGACGACATTGTGAGCGAAGCGGGAGGTCACCTTGCAGTGGACCTTGGTGCCGTAGACTTCGATGCCATCGACCACCTGCGGGAGAGGAACAGTGTTCAGCAGATGGTGACCAGCCAGCCTGAGGCACCCGGAAACCAGGACTTCCTCCTGGCCTCTCCCCTTCAAGCTCCCCTTTGTGGGCTCCAAAGCTCCTGCCTGGTAAGTGGCCCCTCCAGTCTCCCAGTCACCCATGTCAGAAGCCTGGGCAGCATCCTTGGTTGCCACCTTTAATTGGCCACCACTGTTCTGATGGTCACTCTGCATCCTTAGCTCTATCATCTGTTTACATGCAGCTGTAGCCAGTGAGATGGTATAAAAACCCAAATCTGACCCTGTCCTTCTGCCGCTTGAAGCGCTCCCGTTCTCACCACCGCCCTCAGGACAGTCTTCCCCCTGGCTCTGGGGGCCTCCAGGCAGGTGCTGCCTCTGCTCATCCCGTGCTCCAGCCATGCCAGGTCCTAGCTCTTCCTGCTCATCTTCCACACCTCAGCTTGGAAAGAGCGTGTCCACACACACACCCCAGCCCGCCCCCTGTGTCCTTTGGTAATTGCCTGCTCCTGTCTCCCAAATAGGCCCTTGTTTCCTATCTGAGGGCAGTGCATGGGGAGGGCCTTCGTGCCCCCCAAAACCCTCTTTCCAACGGGGTGATGGACCAAGGGACGCTCTACGGAGACGTCTGGGTTAAACATGGATATAAAGATGCTTCGTGAAGGTGTGACGGGGCCATTCACTGTGTGTCTCCTGCCCTGTGCATGGGGCCTGACAAGTGCTTGGTAAGTGTTTGTGGGAAGATGGACTCGTGGAAGGGCGGTCTTCTGCTCTGTCAGCGGGTCCGAGGGCCATGGTTCCGTGGTGCTCTTTCCCAGGGCTCTGGAGTCACGGCGGGGGTCTGCGAGGGCAGGGGGCCATAGTCTGTTTGCCAGCTGGAGGGACCTGCCATTGTGGCCCACTCCTTCCGCTGTTGGGCAACTAGCTCCGTCCTGCCCTGCCCTGCCCCATCCCTGGTGAAAGTTCTCACCCCTTCCGGGAGGCTCCGTTTCTGCAAAAACAGACAAACACAGGGGTCAGGCCAAGTCCAAGGCTACAGTGGCTTGGCAATAGGCTCTGGGCTGAGGCCAAGGTTCAGCAGTGACCCCCACACACACACCTTGAGGGGCCTCTGGACATGGACCCACCCAGAGCCACATGTCGGAGTAGGAAGGGCTCTGAACAGATGGGGAAACTGAGGTGCAGGGAGGGAAGATCTCCAGTTCACCGGGGGGAACAGGGCAAGGAGGACCAAAGCCAGAGCTCTTCCCCTGCCGCATATACCCTGACTCACTCTGCCCTTCCCTGGGCCCCAGGCCCCTGAGGCCTCATGCAGACCCCACCACCACTGTACCCCACACGGCTCAGCTCGGCCATTCCTAGAGGCCTCTACCCGTGTCTCAGACGTGGACCTTCACAGCCCCTCAGTGAGGTGAGCTGATCGTGCAGCATCACCCACCTGACGGGTAGGGAGACAGAGGCCCAGGAGATTTAAGAGCCTTGCCCAGGATTAGGGAGCAGGTCTGGAGCCCAGTTCCCCGCATACCAGCTCTGTTCCCTGCAGCTCACCGCCCAGCCTCTGCCTCCTCCGCACCCTACACACAGGACTGCCGGCCTGGCCCCTCTGCCTGCCAGATGGTGAAGAGGGGGCAGATTTACCCCGAGTGGCCGGCATAATCTTCTAGGGAAGCCAGAGACCGCCACACCGGAGAGCAGAGCCAAGATGAGGCAGGGCCACCGAGCAGACGCCATCGCTGAGCACACTGGCGGCACCTGGGCTCCTTATATGAGCAAGCCTAGTGTTTCCCAAGTGGGGTCATCGACCTGCAGTGTGGGCGGGAGGAGCGGGAGGCAGGAGGATCCCCCGGGAAGCTGGACACGGGTGGAGTAATGGGCCTGGATCTGACTGTACCAAGGAGGCCCGGTGGGTATCGTCAGCAGTGTTAGGACTTCACTCCCGGGGGCTGTGGGACAAGGAGGCCCCCGGAGAAAGCAGAAGCTCTGTGTTGGCAAATGGGCCCCGAGACCCCCTGGGAGGGGGCAATGGGAGTCATAAACAGCATCTCAGCATTGTCGCCGCACCGCAGACGTGGCCTCTGGTCTGGCCTCCTGGATCACAGTCACCCCCCTCTTCTTGAGGCAGTCAGGGCACCAAACCAGACCCATCCCTCTAAGGCTCAGATCTCCATGGCTGACCCCTTGCTCATTACTCTCTCTGTCTCCCGCGACCCCTTGAAAAGGACAACTCCCAAGTCCTGTGGTCCAGCTCCAGCTTGCTTTCTGAACTTAACTCTCTTCCCACTGGCGTACCTCCCCCTTCTCTGCACATCACATCTCTTATCTCTGCCAGCCTGTGTCCCTCCTTCAGAAGTCTTCCTCTTTTGTCCCCTAGCTGACCACAGAGAGCCCTGCTGCAGGCTCCAAGCTCCCGAAGGGCCTACATTCTGTCGTTACCTTTGGTTGAGTTCTCAGGTTTGGATCTGATCGCTCTCTCTAGACTCTGAGCACCTGGAGGGCCAGGCCATGTGTCACATTCATCCCTGTGTTCCCAGTCTGGCCAGGAACTCAGCTGCCCTCGGCCTCTTGGAGAGTCGTTCTCCTGAAAGTCTCCAGTGAGCCTGGAGTTCTGCTATCCAGGACAATGGGAGCCTCAGAGGCAGGGTCTTATCCCCTCCTAGTGGGGGCTGGGTCCTTCTGGGCCATCCCAGGGCCCTGCCAGCTCCTAGACCTTCCAGAGTGGCTACCATGTGCCGGCCATACCCATGTTCTTCTGAGCAAAGTGACCCAGTGACCCTCCTACTCGGCCACTAGTGAACAGTGTTGATGAGGACGCCTGAGCACAGGACAGATAATTTATGGATCGTACCATGGTCTTGACTGAAAGCCAAGAGTGTACTTGACTGTGAGATGTACAGAGAGAGTTGACTGCTGAGGGCAGAGAAACAGAGTGAGAAGACGGAAAGCAGAAGCTCTGAGGCAGCAGAAGCCACAAGGAAGGAGTGGACTAGTGACTGGAAGTCGCAGGAGCCACAGAAGTAATGACAGAGAGCTGCAAAGTCAGCAAAACAATAGTGGATCAACAAAGGGAGCTGCTGAGGCCCGGCTGGGGGTCCCTGCTCTCCTCAGGCCTCCTGAACCCTGACCCACACTGCTGGCGGGCACCGAGTTCAGGGCTGACACCTGGGAGCAGAGAGAAGGGCCCTGCAGTCTAGCTCCCAGGACGTCTAGTTCATGAGGTCATCTTCAGCGTCTATGGTCGCTGACCACTGGGCTCTTGGGGCTGTGGCAGGGGTGGCAGAACTATTGTCCTGCCAGCATTGCCCAGTGGCTCTTCCTCACGGCCCTGCAGCCGCCTGAGGAGCTTTCCCCAGCCCCTCTCCTCCAGGCTACCGCCTCATCCCCCAATACTTGGAGTTTTGTGGGAGGGACAACTCAAAGTACGAAATTCTGAGGTTGCTCAAGAGGCCCCTGAGGGACAGCTGGGGACTTGGAGGGACCCAGAGTTATCATACAGAATTTCGAATTAAAGGAATCTAGGAAATCTTCAGGTCCACCCCATTTCCACTCTAGAGGACGGGAAAAGGAGGCCCCAGTTGGGCAGACTTTGCTGAGGGTGACCAGCCAGCTGGCAGCCCGTGGCTCTCCCTTGAGAAGCCCAGGATACGTCAGACGGTGGGCTGGGCTCTGAAATTCCACTGGCTGCCCCTCAGGGCTCTGTGTCCCTGGGCTTGGGGCAGCTCTGGACCTCAGCATTTGTGTTGTTGATCTGAGCCCCCATGGGCCTCATCTGGAATGGGAACTGGACAGAAGCCAGAAAAAGCAGAAACCCTTTGGAAAGGAGTGGGTGGAGGCCCATCAACCTTCGCCAAAAGGGCCAGTGGCTCCCCAAAGTACAAGTTCATTTCCACACACCCTGTAACGTCACATTTTAACTGGGCCCCTAGACAAGGCCCAGGGAAGGCATTCTGAAGGGGTATCAGGCATCAGTGTGAGAAGTCAGTGGACTGCTCTTCCTGGCCCCTGAAATCACAGCTTCTGGGCAGTGGCCGTCTCTGCTTTGGGGAAATATGCCTGCTCTGAGAGGTTCCAAACCCTCAGCTGGGAAATCCAGTGGAGGATGGAGGCCTGGGAACTGCCACCTGAGGCCCTGACCCCAATAGGTGACCCTCGGCTCCTGGCAGGACTTCTTCAGGACCCCAAGTCCATATATATTTCATGTATTTCTTTCACATGTTCGTGTTAAGTGATACTTTGGGATATCCAGAACCAAATCCCAGCAGGCTTTGGCCATCAGCCACCCAGCCTGATGGGAATATTTACATGGGGTGGTTAAGCACATAGATGCTGACTCCAGATAGCATGGGTTCAAATCCCAGCTCCGCCACTTAAAAGATGAGTGATTTTGGACAAATTACCTAACCTCAGCTGAAAGTAGTCATGATAAAAGTATCCCCCAGGGCTGTTGAGAGTATACATTTAATTAATTCAACAAAGGCACTTAGAACAGTTCCTGGCTACAGGAAGCACTGGGGCAGCTGCAGCTGTTACGGGTTGTTCCTATACGTGCTGCCAGAGTGTCCTTTGGTCTCTGGACCTGTAGGGGAGGCTGTGTGCACGGGACACCCAGGACACTCAGAGGGCACAGGGCCAGGCAGCTGCAGAGAACAAGGTGGGGTGGGGGCAGAGTTGGTGCCAGCTCCGGCCCAGCCTCCTGGTCTGCTGTGGCTCCTGAGCCCTTCTGAGAAGCAACATCTTGGGTTGCCTCCCTGCCACACCCCCTCCCACAAAGCAGCCGGCCTGGGCTGGACATAGCCTCTCTTTAATGGAAGTCATGAGTGCTTCGACATAGGAGGCCAGCTTGGACAGGGAGGTGTGGCCTGGGCAGCAGGTCAGGCTCCTCCTCTGTCATGGTCCCAAGGGAGGATTGGTGTGCTGGCTGGGGGCTCAGAAGATGTCGGGGACGATATAGTCAGTGTGAACACCGTCGATCAGCCCATCCCCGTTGTTGTGGATGAACCAGCAAGTCACCTCAGCCCCATGCCGGGGGTCTTTGCTGTAGTCTTTTTGCAAGCCCCTGAGGAGACACAAGCCAGCTGGGGTCACCTTTTGGAGCTGGCAGGGCTGCACCGCCCCAGGAAGCCCACCTCAACCCTGTGACACCTGGAGGAAGGCCTGGAGCAATGATGGGGAAGGCCAAGGGCAGAGATGCTGGGAGAGCAGCCCACCCACCTGGTGACCGTCAGCCGGCGTTTCTTCACCACCATTGTGGCGTCTGTCTTTGTGGGGTCAGAGCCTGGGTGGAGGTCGAACACTTTATAATCAAAGGGGTGGAAGAATTGTCCTGGAAAGGCATATGGGAGATAGCAGTTACCATCGGGGGCCTTGCTGCCTTGTACTCAGTAGGTGCTCACTGGAGGCTTAGAGAGTTGCCTAAACAATTGTTTTTCAAGGGCTTGACCGTTTCTATAAATGTTGGCATCAAAAGCCACCTTTAGTTCACTTGCTATAAGGAAGCAGATATATTGCCTGGTGGTTGTACCTCCTGTCTTTTTGGACCAATTCCAAAGGAATCTGGCTGGGGAGAGAGGGTTGAGGGGTAGAGAACGGTCTGCAGGAAGGCCACAAGGAGAAGCAGTGTGGCCAATGACCCATCCCACTCAGGAGGTCTCTGGGTGTCCACTGGACCTTTCCATTTGCTAATCGGACCTCTCCTTACTCGCTCCCAGGCTCACTTAACCTTTAAATTCATTGTGTTTGATTGCAGCCTTTTTGTGGGACAAGCCTTCACCGGGACCCTCTTTGGAACTCTGAGCCTTGTAGGCCATGTTGGAGGTGGGCCTATCCTGGTGACCCGCTGCAAAGCTCACCCAGGGTAAGTCCTCTGGTTTCAACACCCCACCCCACAGTTCTGCCCGCCTAGCCAGCCGTACCCAGCAGCCCGTGTGTCCGTGCCGACATCCGGTGACTATCCAGCACGTAGA